GTGAATATACACAAGTTCAGCTATGGACAGACACAGGAATAAACAGGAAGTTGACACTGGATTCGTACAAAAATGAATCCCACCAAATGGCATGCCTAAACAAAGAGTGTGCTAAGATTTCAAACATCTCCGATGAGTAGTTGCTGAGAAAACTGTGACGAAAATTTGTTATGCATGGTATTGACAGACGCACAGATAAACAGGAAGTTGAAATTGGATTCGTACAAAATAAATCTTACTATATGGCATGCCTAAACAAAGTGAGTGTTAAAACTTCAAGTATCTGCTATAAGTGGTTGCTGAGAAAACTGCGACAAAAATTTGTTATGGACAGACAGACACACAAGGATAAAACAGTATATACTCCCTCTCCTTCGGACAGGGGTATAATTATGCAATGTACTGTTGTATATGAAACATGTTTCAATGTCTAGTGTTATTGGTAGTTTGTAGTTGAACAAAACATTTTCTTTCTATTCAAAATAAATCCAATTTAGAAACTGAATTGACAATGATTTATTGACCATACATGAGAATTTAAATTCTGTTCATTGATATTTATTGAAGAAAGCTATGTGCATAAATTGAAATATGCACAAATGAATATGAAAGGACATACTGCAAATGTATATTGTGCATGCACTATACTTGGTGGTGATTAATTTTTCAACAAGTCAAGCTAGGTTTGATTTTGGCACATTTCTGATTGTGTACCAATAAATATACACGTCATAAAGTTTGTGATGTTCTTGATATAGCGGAAGCAGCTTTCTGTCAAAGACGATAAAAAACCTTTATGTTTACAGTATACAGCAGTGCCATTAAATTTTTGTATGTTACATGTACCGGTAACAATTTGAAATACCGATAACTATCACAATGTCTGTAAACTTTTCACATTTTTGATTTCTTCTCAAGAACCACTGGACCAATTTCAACCAAACTTGCCACAAAGCATCCTTGGGGTAAGGGGATTTAAGTTTGTTCACAGGAGTGCCACGCCCTCTTTCAAGGGAAGATAATTAAGAATTTGGTAGCATCTTTAAAAAAATTTCTCAAGAACCACTGGGCAAGAGAAGATGAAACTTGTGTGAAAGCATCATTACATACTGTAGATTTAAGTTTTGTTAATCTGGGAAGTTTATATACTGTGAGACCAGCTTTGTAATATGAAAGATTAAAACCCAAAGAAGTAGAGTTTTCAGAATTTTTCCAAGAATGAAATTTAATAATCTGTATCCGGTCTTCTTGCAAATAAATATTCTGTCTTGAGAGGGCACGAAAATAATCTGACTCGATACCCCCCCCCCTCCCCCCCTCTTTCCCCCTCAATATCAAATATAGTCGTTCACTAATATATTTTAATGTCCCTTTTTTAAGAGAAAGAATGAGTTTTAATACAATCATACATTCATGCAAATGGAAAATTCATCAAAAATAACAGGCTAAATAATGTAGGAAGCAAATATAATCAATCCGAATTTCCTCTGTTCAAAATTTGAGGAAAATTCGGTCAGAGGAAATTCAAATGAAAATATCTTTTAAAGTAACTCATGTAGATATACAATATTTTACATTGTTTGAAAGCACTACAACTAAGAAATAATTAACTAGAAAAAAATTAACTTTTTAATTATTTCTAATTCATTTTCCAAGCTTATTTTACAAGCCCCCAAAAGGAAAAATAAGCGAATTTTTGCACAGGGGTGTGTGCATTTTTTTAAAGAATTAATTTTATCTTCGGTTGATTACCATCATTATTTCATCAATATTTATTTTCCTTATGACTACTTTTAAAAGATAACAAAAAGTCAAAATGATTTGAAAATATTTTTTAGGTTAAAGGGAATATTAAATACGTTGGACGCATTTTTGGTCTTTTTCTTTACTAAAATGAGAGATTTACCTCCCTTTGGCATAAACGCCTATAGCTTGTAAACCAAATCATATACATATGCATTTTTTTGGCTTAAAATAATTAATTATGTTTATTCTTACAATTAAAAAAGAAAAATTAAATTTTTAATTATTTTAGTTGTCAGAAGCCAAACACCTTAACGAATATCTAAGATATGCCACTATTTGGTCATTTATTAGTTAGCCCACGGGCTGACTAGTTACCTTGGGATGAAACTGCAAGTGCGCTAGCGTAGATTATAATCAAAGGCAGATCCAGCATCGACGCGCCGGGCGTGCCCCCCCCCCCCCCTTGTTTGAATTTTTTGTATGTAGAACTTACATGTTCATTATCCTAAAATCAAGGAAAAAACACCTCTTACTTGTAAGAATTCGACAGCTTCCGGGGGCTTCGCCCCCGAACCCCCATCAGGGCTTTGCCCTTGACCCACAGCCCCCCCAGACGCCCTGCCTTCTACTGCGCCCTCCCGTTATGAAATTCCTGGATCCGCCACTGATAATTCTGAGGAAAAAATAGTTAGATGATTCTTTTTAAAGAAATTCATATTACATGTACTCTCTTACTAATGGGCGCGCTTCTTCATGCACACTCCCTGGTCAGTGATGACGGCCTCTATTTATAAACTGGTCTGTTTTCCGTCGTTCTCGACGACGAAGTATATTATGAACAGTTTTAACTGAGAAAGTTGTCTTGAAGTGTTTGAGACAAAAATGCTTCAATGCTGCTTAGAAATCCAAGTAAATGACCTGTACACTTTATAACTAGCGCAAAACAAGATACTAATAGCCCCCCCCCCCCCCCCGGACAAAACTCACACGATGATGGTCTTACCATATACATGTATTATAAATGAGTTTAAAATACATCTTTATATACAGTTTTGAAATTGTTTAGTTTTTCTTTTCAATCGATTTCAGGACCTTTCTCATATTTATAATAACGTGCTTTTTTATGAAATGAAAACCAGTACAGATCATTATGTCTTCTTCATTTTGCCGATTCTTTACTTAGAACATTACGGGAGTGAAGCCCATTCCGCTACGGCTACTGACTACACTATTGTCACTGTATTAAAAGGAAACCCTTGTTCATCACAAAGCATGAAATAAGATGCTACTCGCGTCATGACTTTCTAAGCATTTTTAAAAACCTAACCTTGTAACGTACATTATTAATATATGTAATACTGAAAAAAAAGGCTAGGTGGAAAACAGACTGAATCAAGGAGGGATGTCCCATTTACTAGGTGGAGGGCCGGAGTTTGTTTATGATTAGACTAGTCCACTTATTGGATAAATAGTAAGAATAATCAGCAAATCCATTGCTTTAGTGTTGCCTGTCCATATACAATGTGTTCTCTAAAAAAATGAGATAAAATTTACTGTTAATAAAAAAAATCTGGAGCTTAAGAATCATGTTAAAAGAATAAACTTTATTTATTTCCATAAAAGTTATCACACCCATTCAATAGGACAACTCAAGAAAAAGGCGCGAAGATAATTTACATGTGACATTTGGTGCGAAATGATTGTGTCACCCCTTTCATAGAAGCCAAATGGACTGATCCAGTAGTTTAGAAACGCAGAAAAAATGTTACACGGACATGTCTGTACAAAGAATCGCAAAGAATAAACATGTGGATGCAAAAAAATTGAAGGAATTAAACACATCATCATTTTGCATCAGTTATGTGATTCTTTCTTCTGCACACTGTATTTGTTTAAATGCAGGTAACAAATTCCGATGTAAATCAGCTTGCACAAAATCTAGTTCATTAAGAATGATCGCTTAGTTTCGAATCCCTGAAATATTAATCCTTATACTGCCTGACGCACGTGGCGTCAGGCAATAAAGGAAAACATTTCCAAATGTATATATATATATATATATATATATATATATATATATATATATATATATATATATATATATATATATATAAAGAAAGAAAGATATAAAACGTTAGCGCGCTTTCATTTCAAATTCTTCAGACGTCTGAAGAATTTGAAATGAAAGCTCTAACGTTTTACTTCATATTCTTTTGTTATTTACATGTAAAACTGAGTAAGACGACAACCACAGGTTACATGAATACGTCGATACGCAGTACATGTGTGATCCAGAAAATCACATCTTAAAATTGTTTGCCTTTTTGGACAGAATTGGACAGTTTGTATGATGTATATGTAATCCATATTCGGATTATTTTCTAAACATTTGGTCTCTTTAGTACATTTGTTACGGTAATCAAAATTTTGTAGAGCTCGATCAGCATATAAACTTAGTCTAGTTCCAGTCTAAAGGATTTAAAGGTCTGGACACTTTTAAAATCATTAATGAAATACAGAAAATCTTTGCAAGGGGGAGGGGACTATTTAAGTTGAAAATTCCGGTACGATTAGTGTGGATTACATATGAATCTTGAGTATTTTACCGACAAAAACAATTGAAAATTATATGCTTGGAAATTTAAATAAATACATGTATGTTTTCTTAATTTCCTTGTCGGATGCATGTGATAGCTAACATACATTAATTATATTACATACGTTAATATTTCTGTTTTCTATCACTGCTATATTAAAAAAGTTAATCATTATTTTGGACTTTCTTCTTGTACACACAACTCTTACTATGCATAAAGATTTTCCTTATTTTACATCTCTATCGAAAATATGGATTGCTATATATGATATACATCAATTTTCTCCATTATTATGGTGGTTGTTAATAAAAGTATGAACAGGTTGGTTGGTTGTTTAAATTTCTCACTCATTTTGAGCCCTACCACATGCCGGTGGAGGGCTGCCAATTAAGACATGTACTCGGCACTTACGGCCTTGAGGAGAGAGGGATCTTTTTTCATGCGAACACCTACTGCGACACGGGATCTCGGTTTATACGGTCTCATCCGAAGGACCGGTCTCAATTAACGTCATACATTTGGAATTGATCCCGCGACGTAAGGATCAACTCCTTACTCGACGACTCTTGAGCAAACGCTCTTACCACTGCACCATGCGGGCGACAAAATATGAATAGAAACAAGTGGATAGAAATAAGTGAATATTTCAAGACTTACCAAATGCATTCTCCATTTCGGACTTGTTTTATCATTACAAGTTGTTTCCTTTTTTAAAAAACCATAACCGGCTTGAATGATGTGAAATACGTTACAAGCAGGAAGTCAACCACCTTAATGCTGTCCGCCTGTATCAGTTGTTTATTTATTGTTTATTGTTTATTTCAAACAATGAAAGAATGTTTATGAACAAAAATGAAATGCGGGATTTACATTTTCATAAACAAGTATTCAAACATCAGGTCACGCAGTGTGTGTCTTTTTTTCAATACTTTCATACTGGCTTTAGATTCCATACGTAACAAGCTTATTTTTTCAAGATAAATTTAAAAGTGCTATGGGTATGAATGGATGGTTGATTTTCTCACTGACCTCCAGAATATTTTTTTTAAGTTTGCTGCCGCATGAAAATATTATGCATTGGACGGGTTTTTTCATCATTATCACGCAAACTAAACTCAGTATTGTTGCTCAACTGAACAGGTCATAGCAGTGTGCTTAAATGAATAAAATGAATATATTTTAGGTCAGCAATGGCTACATTTGTATATGTAAAGAAATACAAGTGGCCTACATTTTAGCTTATGATGGTGGATTGTATGTAACAACAAACTACGATCTTGTATTTTAGAAACGGCTTGTTATGTCTCCCCTAAAATGTTTCACATAATTGACATTTTGCCTGCCAGTATATGTTAAGTTGTATTTGTGACAGAATTGTTCTGGACCATAGCTCTTCAAACAATGATTGGAGGCCCTGTTAACCGAGGTTTTGTTGTTATAAAGTGAGATTTTCCCCATAGTGAGAATTTTCCCGGAAGACTGACTAAACGTTTCTTCTCGGAAGACTTGGCTATATGGTATAGTGAGTCTTTTTAACGCACGATTAACTACATGATTTCCGGAAGACCGGTTATAATCTAGTGACTTGCTATCAGTGATTTGGGTAAAACATTGATTTTACTTGTGTTTGTTGACATATAACTGCTGTAATAATAAATTTTCTAAATATCCAGTCTATTCATACATTTATTTGCCTGATTTACTTTTTTAAAAAAAAATATATTGACAACGAAAAATATATCACATTATAATGAACATGTATTCTATACAATCACAAAGTGTTCATGCTCGGTCACGTTCTTATTATGTTATATATAAATAGAAAATCTGATATAGGTTTAATTATTACATGTATCATTATTATTATCATTATTAAAAAAAACATGAACCAAGATTATCAGTTCTTTATTTTTAAATATTATCAATATCTGAAATCCTGTGGAACACTTGTACTGTTGTAACAGTCAGCCAGCTTGCGTTTGTGTGATTTCTCAAAACAGTTACAGCATATAATCGTTACTTATAACTTTATTGAATTAATCCGATTAAGTATGTTTTTTCGGCGTTTATTTTCTTCAGCGACTAGCTATCTTTATATACATACATTTAGCCATCCTCACAACGTCTGGGGTCCTATGTCAATCCGCTGCCATACAAAGGCAACTAGTTGACACAGGACCTCGACGTTATGAGGATGGCATTTAGCAAGTTATGTACAACAAAACTTGCTTATTAAGAAAGTCAAAGGATCCTTCAGATTTTATTTCATTGTATCGACTGAAGCTAAACGAAAGCCTTCCTTATAACCTTATAACTTATAGAGTTCCACACAAGACGTTTCAGTACATATGCATGTTAAGGAAGTTATTTCCATTCTCTTCTTGAAAATTAAAATTTATTTTTCTTCTGCTGACATTACCTCCTTTAGTTTTGTTTGATTTTGTATTTTGATCCTTTCAAATGGAGTTCACTTTTCTTACTATTTTGGATTAAATGAACTGAAGTCGTGATTGGATGTCTCAAGCAGAATATGCAATTCTCTAAATAAAAGGTTAATTTTTATATCTTATTATGTATATGAATCATCATGGAGTTTTTCTTTAATATCCCCGGTTAGATATTTCCGTTTCCCCCTGTCATCCTATGATCATATCTGTAGGTGATTCTGTTTGATTATTTTTTAATTCTAAGAGATTCCTTTAATTCCTTATTTTTAAAATAGCTCGCACTGTACTTTAATAATGAAAATGTGTCTTCAACTGGTTAAACCATAGATTTTACTTTTCTATGCCTATTGTGTTGGCAAAGGCCACGCTGCAGGGAGAACAGCTGGGTATAATTTATACATCAGATAAAAAAATAATTATTACATAAAATATCTTATTGTACATAATTCGCGATTCAGTTCCATTCAAACTTTAAAATGGTTGTTTTGGAAATGAAAAAAATAAATTTCCTAAAATGATTTGCTCTTTAAGATTTTCTCTATAAAGTAGATACATAATGTAAGAATCTTAAAAAACCGCATACTCTGAGATCATTTCAAATAAATTTCAAAAATAAATGTAAAATCTGTTTCTAATGTCTAGTGATTTACATGAATTTTTTTGTCGAAGAACGACCAATAGAGATGAATACATTCAATAAATTTATATAAGTCAAAACTTATTTTTCAGATCTTTTTTTGAAACAAAATCTGATATTTGTGCAAATTCATAAAGATATATATTAGTGCATATTGTGGTACTTTCCAATTTCATTAAGAAACATAGATTGAAATAAAGCAAAAACAGAAAATTTACTTAAAACTCTTTTCTTTATTTCATATAATTCCATCAGAATTTGCAATTTCTGTTCCCAAGGAACTAAATAAAATTTTAACATGTTATAAAGAAGAAATCCGCAACTGTCAATATTCAACAAATTCGCAGTGACAAAAAACTAGGTCGTTGACCCTTCACCTCTTTTTTAAGAAGCTCAATAAGTGTCAGAGAAGTGATAATGGTGAGTGGTACATTTTGATACAAATTTGATCTAGTTCTAAAAATTTCCACTACAAAAAAAACGTCATAATAACCTAGGATCGCTCCCTGATCGTAATCCCTTAAACGCTTACTTCCTATGTCTTATGTCGGTATGGGGTTTACGATAATGCAACAAATATACACACTGCCACTTTAAGACGGAAAACACTTGAGGTTTAATAATTAATTAGGCTTTCACAGTCTCAGAATCTGATATTTAAGTGTCTTGTGACTGCCGAACACGTCCTGTTTGATAGTCACAATGTCACGTGACTTTTTAATGTTTTTTTTTTTTCATTCATAAGAAATTATATTTATCATGAAATTTAGACTGGATATTTATTTGTGAGTCTAGTTGATACTAATTATGGAAGCACGTGGTGTTATTTCAATTTTAATATTAATGTTAGGAAATTTTTATCTAACATTTGCAGATACTAAAGATTTTTGTAAATCAGAAAAGATTTTAACGAAACGCCTTGATACTAAATGTGTTTTGTGTTCTAATAATATAAATACCGAATGCCCGAGGAATGCCACAAAATTAACAAGAGACAATGGGCAGAAGAATTGTAAGTTAAATCTTAATATGGGGAATATAACGAACCCAAGGATTATTCAAATGGCGGGATGTTCACATACTTGCTTAGAAAAAATATCCGTCCCGTATTGCTGTGATGGATTTTACGGCCCAAACTGCTTTGGTAAGTATGAAAGCACAAGATCATTAATCAAATAATTTACTTTTTCTTAGTCAAATCATTTTGCTTTAAAATTAAAATTTTCAAGAGAATTCTATTTTGTGTATGGTAGGAAAAATGTATAATTTAAGGTCATCTGATGCCTTAAAAAAAAAAAAGAAATCAGATTTCCTCTGTACTATTTCTTTTTTTGCAGTTTATGAATAAACATTGTATAAACAAGCATTACGAATTGCAACCAAAACTAGCAGAACTTTTTAAATCTTGCATCTGAATTTCAAAATATACTGCACATCTACAAATGCATCTGTCATATTGTAAATTCTGAGTAATAAAGTGGTATAAACAATGTACATGCATTATAAATTATCTTTTTATAAAATGTATTTATACCAACACGCAAAGAATTGAGAAACAGCTATATTAATATAAATATGTGTGCCAGCCTTCCTGTACCTGCAATTAATTGTAAGAACATTTCATTCATTCGACAAATACACTAGAGAGAAAACAGGAAAAAAAAAATAGGCATTACATCAAAGTAAAAAATTAATCAATTTAAACTCATCTGGATTACAACTTATAATTTCTTTGCATTTAATTTTTAATGTTTAATATCATTTTATCATTTATACATATACTATCTTACATGTACATGTATTATTATATAAAAGCAGGGGCTGTTAAATGGCATGGATTTTAGTTTTGAGAATTTTATCTGATTGATTATCCTGCTTATTAGAAAACGAGGATGTAGCCTTTTTTTCTACTTGTCAGCATGCCCGAAATATAATTGGAAAACCTGTAATAACAAAGGTACCTGTAATGACACCATTACCGGAAATGGAGAGTGCGCATGTCAAGTATGTAATAAAATTTCTTCCATAGTTTATTGTATTCAGAAGTTGTCAGTTTTAAGTTTTCAAGTGAGACCATGTTTGACATGTAACACATTTTCTTATCTATAGATCATTATAATTCATTTATGGTTAAAAGTAAAAGGGATTTGATTTATGAATATGATCATCTTTTAGTTTATGGCCTATACATTCAGTAAATAATGATTTAAATATTTATTAAGAGTGTTTATATAGGCAGTGTGCCTGTTGCATAATAATGCATATGACATAATAAAATATTGTTAAAAAGTATTTTTTATTTAAGTTTATGATCAACTTGTGTGAGAAAGTAAATATAAAATAATGATGGAATATTTACAGACATTATTACATAATGTTATAATTCAGGCCAGAAATATTACGCCGGACATTTAAATAAAAGAATTTTAAATTATTTTTATCATGTTTATCATATTCCATGTTTTAGGCAAACTTCACTGGTTATGCCTGCGAAAAATGCGTGGAAAGCAATGTATATGGCGAAAACTGTAATGAAAGTAAGAGCTACAGCTACTTGAAGAGTAGTGTACAAGTGGTCATTTACATGCAAATATTTCCATAAGAGCAAAAAGCTCGAATTTCTCATTTTCTGTTTAGAATTTAACGAAATTCATTTGCTGCTCTATAGCGTCCTTCTATTAACATTTAATTATAAACCACTTTTTGAATTATTTAAATGTAAAATGATTATCTCTTAGCCTGTAGCTGTGTAAACGGAGTCTGTGACAGTGGAATTCAGGGTTCCGGATTATGTGAGTGTTTCTCGGGTTGGAAGGGAGACCTCTGTGATGAGGGTAAATATAAACAATAAATTTTTTATGTGCCCCTGTGTCAATTACATTATTTTTGAATGACCTAAAATATATGATTCAGTTTCGAAAGGGAATTGTCTATGAATAAACATAATGATTTCACTGACAAAACTGAATAGGCCTATTGCTAATGTTTATAAGTACAAAGATTCTGATTTCTTTAAGAATTTAAAAATTAGGTATACATACATGTATACATGCCTCTCGTTTAAGCAACAAAAGAAAGCTTAAGATGATTACGTACAGTTTTTTTTTTTCAATATTGAAAAAAAAACAAATATACTATAGTACCTAATACATGTAACATAATGATCATATCTTTATCAGAAATTTCTGGTTGTGACTATAAGAACTGCAGTGAGAACTCACGTTGTATTGAGGTGGCAGGATCTAATTACACCTACTGCTCCTGTAATTTAGGATATGAAAGGGACATAAATGCGACAGAGCACACCTGTAATCGTAAGTAACGGTAACCATTGCTTTATTACAAACGTTTTATGGCGATGTAAAGTTTAATGAAAAAAATAACAGATAATTTATTATGCATTTCTTTAAGATGTTTCTTTTCGCATTATGTAAGAGATTGAGTTATCCTTCATTCTATTCTATCATTTCGTTAATTGACCGTCTTCCTGGCTGTTGATTTTTTGAAATCAAACTATATTTACATGAGAAAGGGTAATTAGGCATTATGCAAGGGATTCGACAAACCACCGTACTACATGTATAACCGCTCCTTTTGTTTTCACGGTCATACATGTATATAGGTCCCTAATGATGTGAAGTTTCATTTTGAATAAATAGTACATAAATTAAAATCTATTTATAACTATACGTATTTAGTGTTTCTGTGCTTCTTTGATTGAAAAAATTGGCCAATAAGCGAGGGCATTGATTGGAATGAAGGGCGAAGAGAATCAGATTATTGAAATGAGACCTTACTATATGTGCTATTTCAGTTTGTAACGAATTCATCGAAAATGTAATGAACACGTTTTATTATATTTTGTATTGTTCATACATTTTGTTTCTTTGTGTTTCTCTCACACGGGAAATACTTGTACATCGTACAAATAAGTGAATCTGAAATTATTCTTCGTCCTAGAGCTTACTTTAACTCCAAACATGCCTGGCTTCTTAAGCAATGAATTATCTATTTAAAAGTGATTACACGGAAATTTACCTTCTATAGACGTCAAAAGCATTAGTTTTCTTCTTTCAGCCATTGATGTATGTGCAAAAGGTAAACATGAATGTAGCGAGAACGCAACCTGCATTTTTCTTGGAGCCTCTCAATATAACTGCTCCTGTCTAGAGGGGTTCCGAGGGGACGGTTACGTCTGCACACCCATCGATCCCTGTCGAGATTTTTACGGGGGATGTAACTTTACCACCTCAATATGTACATATCGCTCTCCTGGTGTGGTATGTAAAATATTTTAATCTTACTGTTCTAACAATTCTTAAAATTGTAATCGCATAAAAGCTTGGTCAAAATGCTTCAGTTACCTTAAGGATCAAATTGTGAAAGAAACTTCAGTTGAAAGATACCAGATCTCGCAGCAAATATTAAAGCTTAATTTGCAATCATATTAAGTCAATTCATTATATTGTACATGCCAAAATGATTGACCAAAACCATATTTTTGCTTTCATAGAGAGAATGTGTTTGCAAGACTGGTTACGAGAGTTCCTCCGAACAGAAGTGTGAGCTCATCAATCTATGCTTGACCAATAGTAGCCTTTGTGACAAAAATGCAGATTGTGAAATGATTGGTCCGCTGGAACACGAGTAAATATTATTTAGAAAAAAAACACGTATTCTATGATCTTTCTAAATGACTTAAATTAAGAGATCACATTAAAAACACAGAGAAATAAACATTGTCATTTTTCACCAATGACACCAAAATACATGTATGTTTATGTACATTTATGTTTCGGGCCTATCGTTTAGATTCGTCGTTTAAAACGTGTCTTTACAGATGTGTCTGTCATGAAGGTTATGCAAGTGATGGAAAAGTATGTTTTAACAATCTAATGGGGGTAAGCTGATTATAACTTAATTACAAATAAGTTTGTTTGTTTTTTTTCACACGGAATTTCCTGAAGAAGGAATCATATTACAAGATATTTCATCTTTTTTACGAGTAATTTATTTCTTGCGAACTTGAAACACCAATGACGTTGCATTCCAGTTCTCAGAATACAAGGAAGGAGACATCGTCGCAAGCCACGGCCAAAATGTACGATTCTCTCCCATTCTGGTCGCAAACCACGGCCAAAATGTACGATCCTCTCCCATTCTGGCCGTGTAGGAGATAGCTATATGCGGACTCCGGACCGTGGCTTGAGACGATGGGAAGGAGACTTTTTTTTATTTTTAATTATTTTCTTCGACAGTTGATAGAAGATATTCATAACGACGATCCTACTTTGGAGTCTAAAATGACCTGGGCCATCAAATTGGTGAAGAATATTTACCACGATGAGTTCCGCTATCATGGTCCATTCACCGTCTTCCTACCAACGGACTTTGGATTCCGGACCATTTACAGGAAAATGGATGTAATTATAATCGTTCCAGTGTTTTTTGAGATTAAACTTTTCCTGATGATGCATGCGCATACAGTTCACTGACCTTTTTCCGTTAATCCATGACAAGAACTTGTTAATTTTCAGATAAGAAAGTCGTTTATGAATGCATATATGAGTTTCATAATTTTGCTAAAATATAATTCCGACCAGTCTGATTGTCATTAAAAATAATGTCATTTATCGATGTTCATCTTTTCTTGCAGTCTTATTAAAAACATTTCATTACTTACATGTACAGATAGAAGAGTTTCTTAATGATACAGACACAGCTGGCCAGATTTTACGACAACATATCATTATCGGAAAGTGGACTATGGAGAATCTTACACGAATGAATACATTTTATACACTACAAGGGAAAGAGGCTGAAATCCAAACAAAAACAGTCAGTTAAAAATCAGTAACTTACTTTCAAATTCGGTTTTACTTTCAAATACCAAATACTTGTGTTTGATAATTTGGCACACTTTAACCACACTCTACTTTTTCCATATCAAAATATCGTATTGTTAACATTTTCGTGTTTAAATTTGAATTCTGTAGTAAAATGGGTATATTAATTTCATTTTTAAGCGTGGAGATATAACATACCGGTATAAATTAGGCGGATCTCGGGTGAAATCCTCAGTGGTCAAACAAAACATGATAGCCTCTAATGGAATAATCCACGTAGTCCAAAAACTACTCACAAATCAGCCAGATGTCAAGGGAGACAACAAGGTGAGTACTTATGTCATACGATAGCAGTGATTTGAGAGTAGTTCTATATGCAAAATCATTGGCTCGTAATTTTTGAATTCATTGGGTGGAGTTAAATACGAAAGTTAGAAGATTTCACAACATCGACAAAAGTTTGTTAACAATGTTAGAGGATATACAATATCTTTAATTACTTTACTATCAGAACTTTTATAAGATATTTTTCCATAACAACAAAATCTATACTTATAAATTAATAAATTTTGCAAATAAACTCCGAAACGGGCGCACCAGAGTTCTTACTTACTCCTCTAACAATACAATAGGTACAAGATGATGTCCGTAAACTATATTTAGATTTCACTCGCATAGTAAGTATCGCACATAAAATTAAAAGTCTACTTTCATTTTCTATAAACAGCCATTAAATAGCAAAAACGTGAGTACAGCGGCGGTTCCGGTTGGCGGATCTAAGTTACTGGCAATTTTTAATGAAACTGATAACAAGCAATCGTTTATTTTTTTCATAAAACGTCATCACTAAGTTATTCAATCAAAACTTGATTAAAATGGTATGAAAGAAGTAAGTTGTGATAACCGAAAGGGAAATATGCAAATTATTTTCGTCATTCACCAATCTTAATATTGACGGAAGCTTCTAGAACATCATATAGCTTCGAGTCCGATGTTAAAAAGAAAAACGATGCATGAACATTGTGAATGGTCATTGAAATAATGGTAAATCATTGATAACACTCTAAGTTGTGAATATATTTATATATCGAAAGACTATTACACATATTCAGTATGTTTTCTTAATATATCGGTAAAATTTGTATATATTCCCCACCGAGAGCATCGTGGCAACGAACCCAAAGTACAATTTGTACTTCGTAATAAACTTGCTTACATGAAAAGAGGAAATTAATGAATAAGGTATTGTTCAAATACAATTAAAGTTGTAAAATTTTGTGCTTTAATCAATACATTTCAGTTTTTTTTCTGAATACAGTCTTTTGTATCAAATACTCGGACTTTTCATAGGGCGTTAAAAGCTAATTTTTACACAGGTACTTGGGTCTTGGTTTATAAATATGTATGTACCTTATTGATATGTAAAAAAGTAAAGTGCATTTTCTACATATCAATAAGGTACATACATATTCCCCCTCCCCCCCCCAAAAAAAATCAATCTATCAGTAAAATGTGCATGTTCGTTACTTTTGCTTTTATTATTGACGAAAATGAAATAAGAGCATCTGAAGTACAATATCAATAACATAGTACAACAGGTTTCACAGTAAACGTCAATTAATGAAATTGTTTTTGTTTTTTCAATTTTTTACAAAAAAGGGTGGGGGTGGAGACATACATGTAGACATGCAGGATTTTGAACAAAGTAGTTCTTCCTACTATAAGCCTGTAAACTGTCACTAGAAACTACAAAATATATTATTGGAATTTTTCCGTCGGTAGTGGTATAAATTCATTTCCCCGCGCCTGCGCGGGATTTCATCTAGTATTATATATATTACAAATTTATATCTTTTTTTCAGAAATCTATCTTTACATTGTTAAAAAAGGACAGACGATATAACATTATGGAGTCTTTAATTGTGGTAGGATCCGTATATACTTCCTTTATTCTAGTTTTAAATTATAAAATTCTAACGATCATTAATTTTATTTTTAAATAATTACTCTTAACTCCAATTATTTTCTAAGAGAGCTGGTTTAGAATCAGAATTTGAACAGAACGGTATCACTGTTTTCGCCTCCAGTAATAGCGCTTGGAACAATTTACCACACGGAGCTATGGATTACCTTAAAAGTGAAGAGGTATGAGGGTTTAATAATTGAAAGTCATCATAAAAATTTTACACAGATACCTCTGTCTATTTTGACTGTAGCCTAGAAATTTCATTCAGATATATGTAAAACTTTTTCGAAATAGTGAGATAAACACAAGAATAAGTTTCGTCTAGCGCCGCACGACATTACTGACGTCTGTTTGACGTTCCTCTTCGGCTCTCATTTTCAGTTTATCCAAAGTCTATTAATTTAAATCTCTCAAATGCTCCTTATTCTTCATGCTTTCAATTATCTTTACTGTTTTACTATAGAGCGTCTCGCTTTAAGTTTTTTTTTTTTTAAATTATTTGAACTGTTTTAAGTTGATTTCCATATTCATATCGTTGTGCGTGATCTTGTATATCGTCGTATTTAACAGGAAGTGACGATAAAGGTCATCTGATCCTCCGCTCACTCCTTTCACTGTTACAATTTTTAAAATTTTGACGACCTGAGTGAACACCAAGATCTGACATCATACACTTTTACCACAAATAAATGGGGAAAAATGGACTTTGTAGAGATAGAAAAAGTGCATAGAATACCTTTGTAAAATATCTTTGAAGTCAAAAGATAGAGAGAATGAAGAAAGTGTGTGGAGAATCAGCTAACCTTAAATGTCCTTACTCTCGTAACGGACGCAGAGAATAAATCAGAACAGCAGAATGAAAATGGAAATGAACTATGGAACAATTAACTAATTTTCATAAACAATTCAAAGCAACGTTCTAGCACAAGTTGGTCGTGTAGATTAGATAAAACATGTGTTTGAGAGATTTCAAAGATTTGTGGATAAACCGAAAATGATTGACGAAAAGTATCGTCAAAAAGACGTCAGTAAGGTCGTGCAGCGCTAGACGAAACTTATTCTTGTGTTTATCTCACTACTGTATAGGGGGAAAATAACTCGCGGTGTTAATATTCGCTATATTCACGGTGTTAATAAATCCGTGAATTCAAGAAACAGTGAATAAGTTTTTAATAACCTTCATGTTATATTTGGAAATTTAAGAATAGACTACGATAGGTATATTTACGTGTAGTACATGGTCTTTTCATTAATTACGAGTCGCTCTTGTCATTCAATTATTTTAATTATCACGCTTTACTTTAATTTAGATCAGCAGATAATAACCTGTATTTGTTAAAAATCTGTTTTAATAGCTAACGCTACATGTTTCATCAATCAAAACACGTGGGTCATGGGTTTTGATTACCCGTGCATAACTATGTTTCCACGTGTATTTGTTACCTGCACTATCATACGTATTAGTTTTTATCGACATTTAAGTTTTAAAAAATCATTCAAATAATATCGAACTTGCTGAAGATGTGGAAGGATATTAACATTAACACATTTCTTACCGTCCAGCAGATGTCCAGTTGTTTTTTTGCCGCGATGTATTATCCCTTCGGAAAGAAGATCATGGGGTGTCGTAATAGCATATAGGAAAATGACTCGACGTTTATAGTCAAGGACTTTTAAAAACTAATTATTAAATCTAACTATTTTATATGAACATACCCTGTGAAGTGAATACATAACGCTGATTAAAGTCGTTCTAGCTATGCTATGGATTAAACGGATATAGACAAGGGAGGTCACTTTATTATATACATGTATCGATTCCGCGAATTCAACAAACCGCGATCGTGTCAGAGGAGAGAAAAACGTGAAAATTACAACCCGTGAAATTAATCCCCTATACAGTATTTTAAAAAGTTTAACATATATCTGAATGAATTTTTAGACAAAAGTTAAAATAGATAGAGATATAAGTAACTATAGAAAATTTTGTTGATAACTTCCAATTAGTTAAGATTTTATAGATTTTATAAGTGTTGTATCAGTGCGTTTGGGTCATCCTTGTATTTGCTAGATTTATCTTGATGAAAATATTTTTTCCCATTGTGAATTTTAACAACTTTAAACAAAACCCTTTATATAAGTTATGAATGTTTTATTTATTGCTAAATGTTTTACTACATGAAGATTAAAATAAGTTGCCTAATTATTTACTTATTAATTAGTAATTAATTTACTATATGTAAGTAATATGCTTGAGTTTTAATGAGCAATTACAATTTTGATACTTTATCAAATAACGCTGAATGTTTTAATTAAATGAGGATATCATTAGGACTTAGGATCACTGAAGAATATTTTTACACTTTTGAAATTTTCTGCCTGAATGTTATACGTTCTGTACTTGTAGGGTCAAACTACACTGAAGTTAATTTTGAGACATCAGATTGTTAATGAAACGGTAGGTAAATAACTTATATTCATTAAAAATTACTCTATTAATGAATAAAAGTCATCAGTATATACGGGTTGTATACTTTAGCAGGACAAACTAACCTAAAAATGTTTTGTGCTTGTTTAAAAATTTGTCTTGGAAAAAAAATGTAAACCTTAACATAATTTGAATATTTATTGAAAGTGTCAGTGTGGCTTTTGGGGGGTCCAAAGTTCTAATACATTAATCCTTTAGATCCCCATCAAAACACACAATAAATATTTCTGAGCAGCAATTATGATTCGTTTAGTTCCTGAAACAAAGTATTACAATGAAGGAAATACTTTTTCATACTATACTAGATTTAAACTAGCTTCTGGAATTATGTATTCTACTTAATTTGGAATAACGAAGCGAACATGAAAACGATCATATCAATAATGCATTCTTCTTTGATTTGGAAATCGAAGTATCAATTGTAATCCTTATATTTATGGAAGCCATGTTTGTATTAATGATTGTACGAAAGTCTCACCACCCCCACCCCACCCCCCTCTCAAAAATAAGACTAACAAAAGTATATAATTTATCAAACAGATAGAAGTGGCAGATTTAATCAATAGAGGAACAATAAGAACTCGCAGTCAGTCACTTGTAGCAGTTTTAGTAACAACACAGGTTTGAAACATTTTATTTAACTTTAAAGTTATAATTATAATAATTTGCAACAGGTAAAGAAACAATTATTCATTGCTTTATTAAAATTTGATAAACGTTTTAATAAATGTTTGAACATCAGAGGAAAAGTAATTGGTTTTGTTCAGTTTTGGTCGCAATGTAAAGCAGTATTAATGTTGCTTTGATAACCTTTCGGTATTTTTATCATTCTAGGGACAAATACGCTTAGATAGGGAAACCAACATCACACAGACTGACATACCAGCATCAAACGGCTTGTTTTATCACATGGACAACGTTCTTCTGCCAATAGACCAAGAGAAAATCTTGCCTGGAATCTGTAGTTATTTTAATACCACTCACAAAGAAAGGGTAAATTTATGACATCGTAATTGTTGATTGGTTAAGGACTCAGTCATTTTTGTCACCTAGCTCATGTTTTTTTCTGTTTACTGAGCACACGTCAGACACAAAGCGATCATTTCGAATTGGTTTGTCTAATGTGCTCTTTACGGTTCAATGGGTCAGATTTTTTTTCGGGGACACATTTCCTTTTTCTCAATATGGAAAGCATATCGAAATGCCCAAATGACAGAGTTCCTAAAGAATTGTCATGATGAAGCCATTTATTTTATCATATAGATCTATTCCAGGTATAGTCATATATAATGTTTGTTTTACAGGGATACTGCAGACCGTGTTATGCTACTTTGGAGTGCGAGAAAGGAATTCCTACAGTAAGTAGAAAGTGAAAGTAGTGTCCTCAAAGTAACTTAAATGTGAGAAAGCAATCCACAGAAAGTAAATGTGAGAATGGAATCTCCACAATAAGTTGAATACAAGAATGATATCACCACAGAAAGTAGAATGCAAGAATGGAATCTCCACAATAAGTTGAATACAAGAATGAAATCAACACAATAAGTAGAATGCAGGAATGAGATCCCAACATTAATTAGAATGCAAGAATGTTCAATATTCTACCTTTCTGTATATCCATCCTCATTAATCTATACAACTTTTTGTTACTTTAAATCCCATCATTGTAAAACTTTGAATAAAGGAATTAATATCTATGCGGATAAAATTATTCATTTTACTTAATATATAAACATGACTTAAGTTGTTATTCTCAAGATATTTTCTAAAAATGTGTTTGTATCATCTATTCTTAGTCAAATATGAAAATGGAATCCCCACAATGAGTAAAAAACGAAAAAGGAATCCCTCAGAAAGTAAAAAGTCTCCCTAAATAAGTAGAATTTGAAAATGGAATCCACAAAGTAAATAGAATATGAGAAAGGGATCACAGAATAAATACCCCACAGAAAATAGACTGCGAGAATGTCATCCCTATAAAAACTAAAATGTGTGAATGGAATCTCATCAGGAACAAAGTTGTTAGAGTAGAGTCCTCGGAATGTAAAATGTGTGATCCTTAGAGTAAGTAAAAGGTGGGAATGACATCCATATAGTAAATAAAATTTGAGGGTGGGATCTGCACTGAAATAGAATGTGGTAAAGAATTACCCTGTGTAAGTTCAATGTGAAAAAAGGAATTCCCGTAGAATCTCTTCACTAAGTTGCATTTGTAGAGTTAAATCTGTACAGTACGTAGAATGCGAAAACAGAATCCCTAGAATGGGTAGAATTTGGGATTGGAATGAAATATATGGAGATAACGAACAGTATTCAAGCTCAAAAGTCCATTCAACAATACAAATTTTGAAGCAGGGCAAAGTAAGTTGAATGTGAGAGTGGAACTCCAAGTTTAAGAGAGTGGAACCTTAAAATGTAGAATATTAGAATGAAATTCGAATTCTTAACAGAGCACAATGTGGAAGTGGAATTTATACAGTAGTTTGAATGTAAGAGAGTGGATTCCCTTTTGTAAGTACCTTCATTAAGAATGTGAAAACAATATCCCTTTAGTACCGAGTATGTAGCATGCATAATTTGAATCTTTATATTTACCAAAGAGTGAGAATTCAGTCCATTTACTTAGTCGAATGTGAGAATGTAATCCCTATAATTAGTTGAATGTGAAAATGTGAAATTATAAAATAACAGAGATTTTTGAGAAAAATTTAATAAATTGTTTGAAAATCTTTAAGGAACAAAATTAAGAACAGCTGTTAAAAGTCAAAGATTTTATAACGTATATAAAATAGATTTCCTGAAACTGGAAATATATCTATGTAGGGTGAGGTAGAATCCTGTGATCTCAGGAAGGCTCAGATTTCCCGGGACCCAGATACGGGGAAGATCTTAGATTTCTTTTTCATCAAGAGTGCAGGATGTGTTTCAGTTTGCAACGCAACAAAAATGGTACGTTTTCTGTTTTAAGACTTGATATTTTCAGTTTTTTTGTTTGGATATTTCCGTATACATATAACCAATTCCAGTATGAGCGTTAATGTCTTTAGCTTGTTATAATTACAATTTGCTGTTTTCTGTAACTCGTATAACGGGGGTTGCATTATCTATAATAATTTGACAAGTTTTTTAACAGACCCCTGTGTGTTGTTCCGGATACTATGGAGATAAATGTTCTATATGTCCAGGGGAATATAAAAATCCGTGTTCAGGAAAAGGACAGGTTTGTATACCTTTATTAAAAGATTGTCCATACTCATTTGCAATGTAATGGATTGCTTATTTTCATTGCTGAATATTAATTATATACAGGATAGATAATAGAATTAAGTATAATTTATAATTTCTTATTATACAGTGTGTGGATGGATTAAGTGGTAATGGTACTTGTATCTGTGATGAGGCTTTTATAGGACCCGCCTGTGACAGATGTTCAGACGCCAAGAAATTCGGGCCAGGATGTAACAAGAGTTAGTCTTTTTTTTTCTATTATATTACTTTACATATTATAACAATTTTGAAAACATAACAATTAGAATTAAATGATGAGTTTTTTGGAGTTGGTTAGTAAAAACTTAGACATTTGGGAAACTTTTTCTCAGCATGCACATGCGTACACGGGATTTGCAACAATGGACCTGAAGGTGATGGAAAATGCAAGTCTTGTTTCCGGAGCTTTTGGCCGATTAAATACAGAGGGGAAAACTGTGATATCGTGTCTACGCCATGCCTAGGTAGTCTACATCTATTGCCCTGTCATATTGATTCTTCATGCGTCCGAAATGGATCATCTTTTCGGTAAATATGAATGAAAACTATTGCCTATTTTGGACAGTTGCCAAACAAAATATTTCAGTGGTGTATTCCTGTTAAGTTTCTGTGCGTTGTTCGTAAACATGTGAAAAATTAACATTTATTCGCTGAAATGGTAGAACCAATTTCAATCCATTTTGGGCTGTAGCATCTATGGATTCAGCAAATGAAATATAGAAATAGTTAATTTTATCTCACCGAGGTGTGGGACCAAAAACGCTTCAAGGTTGTTTTTTTTTAAATCACGGACAGCTGGAGGCAAAGTGTCAGTTAACCCTTTACCACAGTAATTAAATTTATGTCCTTGAATTCAGGATTTAAGCCTTAGTTGATCATATTTACAAAAAAGACACATTACCTTTGAAATTGTTCTCTTGTATTCTTGACATCTTGCAGGAAAGCTATTAGGTATATTGACTAGTTAGCCCTCTACCAAAACTGATTCGTGCAGAATGGGTACATGGGTCACGCCCCAGGATAAGGCTTAGTTGGTCATATATTAAAAATACATTACAAATTTGGGAGTTTTTTAGCTCACCTGAGCCGAAGGCTCAAGTGAGCTTTTCTGATCACATTTTGTCCGTCGTCCGTCCGTCCGTCTGTCTGTCTGTCTGTCTGTCCGTCCGTCTGTAAACTTTTCACATTTTTGACTTCTTCTCAAGAACCACTGGGCCAATTTTGACCAAACTTGGTACAAAGCATCCTTGGGTAAAGGGGAATTTAAATTTTTAAAATGAAGGGCCAAGTCCCCTCACAAGGGGAGATAATCAAGAGAAGACAAAAATAGGGTGGGGTCATTAAAAAATCTTCTTCTCAAGAACCACAGGGCCAGAAGAGCTGAAACTTATGTGGAAGCATTCTGGGGTAGTGTAAATTCTAAATTGTTCAAATCATGACCCCCGGGGGTAGGGCGGGGCCACAATAGGAAATACAATGTTTACATTGAAATATATAGGAAAAATCTTTAAAAATCTTCTTCTCAAGAACCACTGGGCCAGAAAAGCTGAAACTTATGTGGAAGCATCCTTGGGTAGTGTAGATTCTAAATTGTAAAAATCATGACCCCCGGGGGTAGGGCGGGGCCACAATAGGGAATCAAAGTTTTACATTGAAATATATAGGAAAAATCTTTAAAAATCTTCTTCTCAAGAACCACTGGGCCAGAAAAGCTGAAACTTATGTGGAAGCATCCTGGGGTAGTGTAGATTCTAAATTGTAAAAATCATGACCCCCGGGGGTAGGGCGGGGCCACAATAGGAAATACAAGTTTTACATTGAAATATATAGGAAAAATTTTTAAAAATCTTCTTCTCAAGAACCACTGGGCCAGAAAAGCTGAAACTTATGTGGAAGCATCCTGGGGTAGTGTAGATTCTAAATTGTTCAAATCATGACCCCCGGGGGTAGGGCGGGGCCACAATAGGAAATACAAGTTTTACATTGAAATATATAGGAAAAATTTTTAAAAAACTTTTTCTCAAGAACCACTGGGCCAGAAAAGCTGAAACTTATGTGGAAGCATCCTTGGGTAGTGTAGATTCTAAATTGTTTAAATCATGACCCCCGGGGGTAGGGCGGGGCCACAATAGGGAATCCAAGTTTTACATTGAAATATATATAGGAAAAATCTTTAAAAATCTTCTTCTCAAGAACCACTGGGCCAGAAAAGCTGAAACTTATGTGGAAGCATCCTGGGGTAGTGTAGATTCTAAATTGTACAAATCATGACCCCCGGGGGTAGGGCGGGGCCACAATAGGAAATACAAGTTTTACATTGAAATATATAGGAAAAATCTTTAAAAATCTTCTTCTCAATAACCACTGGGCCAGAAAAGCTGAAACTTATGTGGAAGCATCCTCAAGTAGTGTACACTCTAAATTGTTCAAATCATGACCCAGGGGATAGGGCGGGGCCACAATAGGGGGAATCCCAAGTTTTACATTGAAATATATAGGAAAAATCTTTAAAAATCTTCTCAAGAACCACTGGACCAGAAAAACTGAAACTTATGTGGAAGCATCCTGGGGTAGTGTAGATTCTAAATTGTTCAAATCATGGCCCCTGGGGGGAGGGTGGGGCCACAATAGGTATTACAAGGGGGGAGTCTGGTAATGAACAGCATGGCCAAAGTTACTCAGGTGAGCGATGTGGCCCATGGGCCTCTTGTTAACATATGGGATTTCAACAGACAAATTGTATGCAGGATTAGGGTAAGCAACTATAGCCCTCTGAAAATAGTAAAATGTTGCAACATGGTCCTAAGGTCATGCTCCAAGGCTGGGCTTAGTTGGTCATAATTATTTGAAACATATGGACATTTAACTTACAAACTGAGTGCATGGTTTGCTGAGAGTTGCAAAAGGGTTGGGAGAAGGAATCCTATGATATGATATTATAATCTTTTAGATTACACTTGAACATTGATGTACATGTAATATTGAGCTGTTCAATTTCTTCGAACAATTCTTGATTCTTCCATAGCTGTGTATGTGACCGTGGTTACGAGGGAAATGGTGCCGTAAAATGTACTCCAATTAATCCTTGCGAAAAATCCGGCAGAGGCGGATGTCACAAACAGGTAACACTGTCCATTTACATACTAGATACCGCAGACTTGTATATACGTTTTAGCATGACGTAAAAATAAAAAGACTGGTATTAAGAAATATATATTTAATGGAAATACAGAACATTTTGTATCATTTTTCATGTTTTCCTTTATTGATTGATATACAATAGAGAAATAAATTAAATGGAAATATTTTTGTCACTGCTGAAGCATGTGGAAAGGCATTTAAAACATTAAAATCATCGTTTATAAGTGGAGTAATATCTAAGCAAAAAATCTTTAATTAGATGTATGTAAAATGTCCATGATTTACATTTAATGACTAAAGATTTCTGTTTTAACAGGCTGTGTGTAAGATGGACGGACCCGGTGACAACACTTGTACCTGCAGTGAGGGGTGGGCAGGGGATGGGAAATATTGCTACCCAGGGTCCGAATGTGGGGATCACCAACACTGTCATAAGTATGCCTCCTGTAAGACTGTCCCCTCACATAACAAGGTCAGTCATCAGATAAAATTGTATACCGAAAGTTACAATACAACATATGAGAATGTCTAATTTATCAAAGCTTATAAATTTGTTTTCGTTATGTTAAATAAATTGATGTTCATTTTTAATATTTCTTTTAGTCCCTGTGTTGGTGTAATGACGATTTTCATGGCAATGGAACATATTGCATTCCAAATAACATATGTAAATTTCATAATGGAGGTTGTCATTCAAAGGTATGAATACAATTGGGTATAATAAAGGCACGGAATCAGTTAGATATAATAAAATTAGGAGTAATAAAGGTCTATAGAAGTGTGGAACACAACAATTAAGTGTTACAAAGGTATATAAAACATGCGTGTGTAATAAAGGCATGGAACACAGTAAGGTGTAATTATTTTTTTGGAATATATAATATGTGGAACACAGGTGTTATAAAGGTTTGGAATTTGGAACACAAGTGTTATAAAAGAATGAAAACATACATGTAGTTATGTGAATTGAAGGAATATAGGTGTAAGGTATGGAACAGATACATAGCTGAAATATGAAACATGTTGTTGAATTTTATGTATTTGTCGTACCCTGTTTAAAATAAAGAGTTGTTGTATTGACCAACCATTTTTAATAATTAATTAGATAGATTTACATACTGTTTTTTTCAAGGCTAATTGCACACCATTAGGACCAGGGCTAAATAACTGCACCTGTATGGAAGGATATGCTGGAGATGGGATTTTCTGTATGCCAACCATTAACGAACTCATTCTCAACCACCCAAACCTAACCAGACTTGCTGCATTTATCAAAGTGAGTTCAGTGGCTCATTTGTAGGTCAACAAATCGACCTATCTGTTTTTGTCCATCATCGTGCAGCTGTTCATTTGTGTTCTCTAGATACAATATTTTCAACTTTTTCTCTAAAACCTTTAGAATCACTTTTGATACATAACATCTATCCATATCTAAAATAAAATGTGTAGATTTACCTAAAAATGAAATAAATTTTAATACAGATATTTGTATAATTTAAGGTATGAAGAATACTAGCTTGCATGATTATATGTAGCATAAATCTTATTCTAAACAAGAAGCTTGTGCAGAAATAAAAGTGGTTTTCAGAAAGAGAGAGAGAGAGTACCGGTAGGTTTGAGAAAAAAGTTGTCATGTTATAGTCCAAAAGCAGCAAAGCTCAGAATCTTATTGTTTTTCTTTTTTCTTTGAATTCCTTTTTTTTTTCTTGTTTTGTTTTTGTGTCTTTTTTCTCTTCTTTTCCTCAACAACACTTTTGTCATAAATTTTAAGTGTTTCTAATTTTTTTAGCTCTTAGAAGAAGACAGCATTCTTCAGTATTTTATGGACACCTACACATTCTTTGCGCCAACAGACGCCGCCATGGATTTTCTAATCAGAAGGCGGGAAAAGAGTTTCTTTTCTGATATTGATAATGTTCTTCCTTTCATAAAGTAAGGAAAATTCAATTTGATCATTACTTTGCAAATTGTAAATTTCATCAGACATTTATTTACCTTACCTTAGATTTAATTTCCTGTATTAATTTTATTGTTTAATTCCAGTTACCATACAGTTCTGGGACAGAATCGACTGGAGGATTTACGTTCCTCAGTGAATGTGGTAGACCGCTACAATACTTTGTCTGACGGTTTCTTCCTACACTTTAAAGTTGACAATGGGGTGAGAAAGTACAAGACTAGTCCTTGAATTTTTGTGTTACTATTAACATTATTTAAGTTTTATTACCGAGAGGTATAGCAAAGTTTTTCTTTATGTGTATGTACCACTCCCATTTTACATTTACGTGCTAAAGAAATCAAGTCATCCTCACAACGTCTGGGGTCCTTAGTCAATTTGTTGCCATGGAACCCCTGACAAACTTCATTCAGTTATTTTTTCGGGCTTCCTTTTCTCATTGAAAAGCACCAATCAAATGAAAGATATGGAGATAACGAACAGTATTCAAGTTTAAAAGTCCATTCAAGCAATACAAATCAGGAGCAGAGCAAACACGGACCTCTAAAACATCAGAGTAGGGATCAGGTGCCATGGAGGAGTGAGCATCCCCTGCTGACCGATCACACTGTAGTGTGCTCCTTGTCATGATCGGTAAATAACGGAAAAATCCGTCGGCAAATCAGTGGGTAAATAATGGCCTAACAATTAGTATGAAAAACGTCAATCAGCATTTAACTTAATGATAGATTGTATTTGCTGACAAGGTTATTCTATCGACCATAGAACTTACGAAATGATGACTTTAAACAGACTGTTGATATTCTTGTTTCATCAACTTGTTTGTCAATACCTTACTTTGATTTAGAAATTGTTCATACGTAGAGCATGCTCTTGCGTATCGAATCAACTGAAAGATATAAACCCCATATGCAGGTGATGAGGGTATGTTAAGTAAGGGAAATTGACGATTGAAAAGTTAGTTATCACGTTCATCATAAAGCTTTGTTGCTAGATTACCATTAAAAAAAATTTCTAGTAAAATATCCAAATATGTAACAGATGTGTCAGACTCTGTGGTATCTTTTATTTCAAGCTCATTGGGATATATCGTGTCGACATATGAATGGAAATAACTATTATTAATTGATAATGCGTCGTTGATATATCTAGATGTCGAGTTGAAGCCTAAGGCCAAAGCAAGAGTTTTCTTTTACTCATACGTAAGATTTTAAATGCTTCATATGAATACAAAAATAAGTCTGCTAGTAAGGGGACGCAATTGGTATCCATGGGAATTCCAATAGATTGTTGGAAGACCTGGTATCCAAAAACCACATAGATACTGTCTCCCAAAAAAAATCATTTTTTTTAAATCAACTTTAGAGTACTTGTGTGTACAATCAGAATATTTTTTAACAAAATAATTTTGCAAATGACCAATGATAAGGTACAAGTAATTCAATTTACGTGTTCCTTTTTATTGAAAAAACAGCTGTCAATGATGTCAAGAAAGCCTGAACTTCAATTTTTCGTGGGGAGTGGCTGTATCTAGAGTTGAAAAGTCGTCAGTTTTGATGTTATTGATTTTGCTAAAAAAAAAAAGTGATTTCAAATTTTCCAAAAGTTCCTTGGAATTTTAAGTATCCACATCTGATTTATATCACTTCTCGAATATATTGTTACACGGTACTTCTGAAGTTTCTCCTTCACTGCTGTTAATATTTTAGTGAGAAATAAAGAAAGCTTGGAAGAACAATTGCTGGAACCTGCTATGTGTCAAAGGGAAGCTTTCATTTACTTATTTAGTAAACAGATAAGGCAACCAGAAAAGAATCATTTGATATTTTAAATGCACTTTTTATAAGTTGTTTATCACCGAAAGGCTTTATGTGATTGGTTGGGAGATAAGAAAAACAATCAAGATTTGTAATTTTCCCAAAAGATGTCGCTGCAGTCAGACCATTAAATATTGAATGAAGTTTGTCAGGGGTCCAATGGCAACGAGTTAACTCGCGACTTTTGACGTTGTGAGAATGAAATCAAGTATCCCTTGTATGATATGGTCTTAACTAACAATAAGCTAGTTAACTGAATATAAATTCTTTTTTTTTTAATTTGTTTTTTCACGTGAGCAAATTTCCTCTGGGTTTTCTATTAATATTAACATATTTTGCTTTCAGTTTGTTTCATTGCATGTAGTTTTGCAATAATTTTGATTTTAGACGCTCCTTCTTTCAACAAATAACAGATTTGCTATAACAGCTCGAGTAATAAAAAGCAATCTGATAGCTGCCAATGGATATGTCCATATCATAGACCGGGTAAGAAGTCCTGCTGCTTTTATGCTTCTTTGTTTTTGTTTTTTGTTTGTTTGGTTGTTTTGTTTTGTTTGTTTGTTTGTTTGTTTTTTTGTTTGTTTGTTTGTTGTTTTTTTTTTTGGTTAGGTTTTAAGAACTGGATTATCAGTGAACTTCGTATTCATGCGATATAAATCTAGTGTACAACTTGCACCTATATATTTCTAAAATAACATAAGTGGTGCAATGAAAATGGTGCATTGATAAACGACATAATACGTATTATGAAAGACAGTTTTCTAACATTTATTTATATTAAGCAAACAAATGTAAAAATAAAATTTCAGAATAATTTTTTTTTCCTTATTTTGTTTATAAGGCTCTTGAACCAGAGTTAGAAAACAGTGGACTACCAACACTTGAAGATTTTCTGAACAGCAGCTCTGACACTACCATCTTCGCTAACTGGCTTAGGGTGGGGATCAAAAAATATATAAAAATAGAATTAGATTTTTTTTTATCTTATTATTTATCAAATGATTAATATACATCAGTAATGTTTGCAATTTTTTGCAATACTGTAATTTTGATTTTAAAAAGTATCTGATTAGTTCAAAATGATGTTTTTTGTCAGACAAAAGGATTAGTCGATGAAATCATGGATATGAACCAGTATACGTTATTTCTTCCAATTGATGAAAAGTTTGAAATGGAAGAACTCCCAGCAACATATATAGTAAGAGATCTTCATAGATCCAAATCTATTTTTTTTAAAAATCTAACATTTCAGGAAAATAAAAGTATCTGAAAAGTAATTTAGTCCCATATTATAATTATGCTATTAGAAGCCTAGCCTAGATGTGTATAAATATTTTGCTTCAAAGACTTGTATCTCTTGAGGCCTGTTCATTATGAAAATATGTTTAATAATTATGTAGTTAAATCCTGTACAAAAACATGTTGAATCAACAAGGTTGGGAAATTACATACGTTAATGATCTTTTTCCTGCTTTCTTTTTCTGGGATAGAAGGATCGACAAATATTAAGTGTGCATTTCATTTATCAACATAAACTCTTTGTTCTTTTATAATTATACACGTTCTAGTACGTGTCTAGATAATCTGCTCTTAATTCCATCCTTTCAATTCAGTAATTTGTCAGTATCCTGTTTTTAGACTAGTAACTACCTTCGATATTACGTCCTACCTGTGATCCGCTTGGCTGAGTCTTTCGACGATAAGGAGTCCGTAGAAACAGTTCTTGGATCGAAGAACAAGATCTACATTGAAATTTATGGTACAAAGGTAAGCGGTGTGTTATTGCAAGCGCAGCGAGCTGTACATGACTTGTGTATATCCTAGGGGAATGAACAGAGGAAATTCGAGTTTAAATCTACACCTTAAGAAAATTTGGATGAGCTATCGTGGACAAATTCTAAACATTCACAGTCCTGTTTAAGTACAAATACAAACATCTGGCTTTTGTGTATAGCAGTTTACTTGAAAAATTTATCACATATACATGTATATTCAAGGTATTCAAACTGGCATCATGAAATGTGAAAAAGGAATTGTTAAACGCAGTTGACTATATTATAGAGCTACACTATTAAATTAAAAATTTACATTAATTGCATTTCATAAAATACTCTCCAAAATAAATCTTTTTTTAATCTACTGATACATTTTCTAACTTTCCACCACAGATTTTTCTGAACACCGAGCGTATGATTGTTCACAGTAATTTTTTGACGGATGGGGGCGTAGTTCATAAAATTGCTGGATATATACATCCTAATCTAAGAATATGTGACGTCATCAATAGAACTGTTATACATGTGAGTTTATTTTAAATATATTCATTTTTGTTTAAACTCCTAAAAATAGTGAGCCAATTACAATTTTTGAAAAGAAAGACGAGTAGAGATTTCCATGTGTATTATAATTTGCTTCTGTGGAATGGGAATCGTAAATTTTATCCTAATTCCAGAGCGCATGCGTTCCCTGTGAGGTTGGCCATTACCAGTGTGCCAATGGATATACATTGGAAGCCGCCACTGTTACCAAGGGCTGCATATATGCCAGTGCTGAGGCACAATACAAAGGCTGCAGCGCCCTCTGTTCAAGGCAAGAAAAGGTAAACTTCATCAAATATACATGTAGCATTATACATGATAAAAGTTCAAAATGTTTATGTAATTTTTGGAGCTCTGCAAGTATGCATGTAATATTCATAATTTGTTAAGATAATTGAATTTTTTAATTAGGAAATTATAATGATACAATATTAAGACTGATTAAAGTGCAATTGCTGGTTTTTTTTCTCATTTTATATAGTAGTCAGTTCTTTATTAACTTTGCAATTATGTTCAACTATATAAAACAAACGTGCACAAGTACAAGTGGGTTGAGAGGAGAATGTATAATTACAATAAATACCTAATTTGTCATATTTTTCCATAATATTTTTTTATGCTTTACCAGAAAAATTTACCGAGGATGTGTATTTTTTTCACATTTTCAATATTAAAAAAATGCCATGTAGAACTTTCATAAAAGATGTTTCTATATTAAGACGTTTGGGAATATTTTTCATGTGTAGATCAATGACTATCAGGGATTAACGATCTTAGTCACCTGTGGGCTTTGAATCGTTTAAATATCAATATTTTCCTTTTATTTTTATTTTTTGGCCTAATTACTTGATATTTTGAGACAGACCTATAAGTACACTTTAACTGCATTTTTGTGCATAAAACTCTTATAACGAATAAATTCTTAAAATAATCTTCAATTGAAATGAAGCTACAAATTATATTCATGGAACATATTAAAATATTATGTAATGAAATAAGTGAAGATAGCGAAGAGTGAATGATGTCAACAAAAGCTATAAACATTATAAATCTGTGAACAGGGCATAAATGAATATTCTTGTTCTTTAAGAATCGATTATTAATAACCAAGCACGTTGATTTTCGTTTCTTACAACTTGGAAACTACGCATGTTATGAACGTTTGCATAATATGAGAATAGTCCAGTATAGGTGAATTGTAATTGATTATTAATCTATTAATTTGTAATTAGATAATTAATCAGTAGTGATTCTTCACAGTCCAGATAATGTATACTTTACATAAACAGCAAACAAGTGGACAACAAATTTTAATTTGAAAGGTCTTGATCAGTTTTTAAGCAATGTTTCATTTTACAGGTGAATATTTTTGATATCAATGAGAGGTTTCTTAAACATATATATGGAATATCATATATCAGATTTAATCTAAGGGTTGGTACATTGTATGGGGGTAAGCCGGAGTGTGCTTGCTGATACCACCAAAGGGCCAAGGGCCGAGATCAAATCTGCAATTTCAAATTACATTGTAAGCCTAAAACACTGGTAAAGATCAACAGTATTTATTTTTTTTCAGATTTTTTTTCTTACAATTAAGAAAGGACAAGGTATGATAACGGTCAAATTTGGCCCCTAATTTGAGTAGAGTGTTCCAAAGAACACATGTGCCGCCTGCTATATAGCGTCATTAAGAATAACAATAAATCTAAGGATGGTCAGTTGTCTATTTGCTGCTAGCTTTATAATGATTTATGATAGCAAAGAAAAAATTTCACGAATAATAAGACCGAAAGAATAGCATTTATAATATAAAATCTAACACTAAATTAGAAATAGCTATATTGAATAATTAAACTGAAATTACATATTAGAAATATTTATTTTTCATTTTAAATATGATAAATACGTTTTAATTTTAATCCAACTATCCTCCAAAAGATATTTCAGACTTTCTTTACTGCTGTATTCTACAACAATCATTTTGGTATACAATCCAGATGTATTTTCATAGTATTTAAATTTCAGTTTGTGTGCACGTGGTTACTTTATAGCATAATGTTTCAAAGTACAGTGTCATAAGCTCATAAATATGAAATATTAATGCTAATATCAAAACCCCGCTTAACAAATGAAAAGAGACACAAGTTGAATCAACCGTCCGGAGTATTTTTGCAAAGTAGATCAAAGGTCAAAGTCACATTGATTGTAAAGCTGGTTTTCATGATGTTTTATGTCAAACAGTGCACATGCTAGATAGCATAAATTTACCTCTTAAATGTCAAAAATATACTGTATATCGGGACCATGAGCTATTTTGAAAAGAAGGTCAAACGTCAAGTTCAAAGGCCAAGAGGTCGGTAACCATAGTATTTTACAAAAGCCAAAGTGCCACGCAATATATGTGGAAAGTGTGAAATTCATACCTTTTTCATATTATCAAGATTATAGGGTGTGACAGACGGACGGACGGACGGACAGACAGACAGACGCTGGGTAAAGTGATCCCAAAGTGTCGCTCTGCTCTGCAGGCAACACAAAAATCAAAAAAGTTTATCTTGTGCTAGTTCGCAATTAACAATTTTAAATGATGCTTGCTTAAAATCAAGCATTGGTTTTGATCAAAGTGTATCTGAGGCAGCTTAATAAAATAGAAGAACATTCAACCAAATTTCCTCAATTCTGATGGAACTTGATCACATTCTCTTCAGAAAACACAGAGTCCTAGCTTACCTCTCTGAGATTTTCATACAGTAGATGTTATATGATACTTACATGTATACATGAAATGTGTAAGTTTGGTAGATGGGCTTGCTGCGTGGTCCGAAACAAAATGTGACATAAAATTGAAGAAAGATTTAAATAAAAATGAGACAATTCGGAAATTGACACGTTTTTTACCTTCCTGTGACCACTTGAAACCAGTACCAATGTATTTGATTATGAATTGTTGCATCGTTCACAGCAGAGACCAAAATAAGAGTCTTAGCCTGTCTTGTTCTTTACAATAATAAATATTAACCTCTTTCCCTCCTGGTATCCCTCATTCATACATATTACATGTTGAGTTTGATGTTATATATGTCTTCTTTATTAGTTAAATTTAAAAAAAAAATAAAGGGTTGGATCAACTTTCGTCGAAGAAGTATGACAATCGAATGCATTTTTGTCATGAAAAATCATTAACAAAGATATTTTTAAATTTTAGAAAATTAAAGAAAATTAATGATCTGAAATAAGAGAGCAGTGTAGCTTCTGGCTACAGAGCGAGATAGAGAAATCTCAGCGTCGAGGGCGATACAGCCCCCGATGCATACAATTGTCTCAGCAGGCCATGAACACTCGTATCAGGGCTGATATATTACTAGGCATATTATGTTACCGTGATCGAGTCAAAGAATCTTTTATGACATACGTATGTATACATGTATCACTGCTGCAATGTCATAATTACCATTACGATATCACCATGCAGTCGAAAGGGTCGTTTTCCAGTATTCTGCATATATACCTGGTATACAGAAATATTTAATGATTTTACCATGTTAAAAAATAATACAAATTATCACAAAGCACGTACATTTTCATGAACTATTTTCTGATTTTTAAAACGTTACATCTCTTACAAACGTGAATATAACATTTGATTTCTTTCTGTATTGGAGGAAAGAAATGATTGGGTATTTCCACAATTGATTACTAGTTTAATGTTGTCGTCCAATGAAATGCGGCGTCTCTGTGTAATGAAATATGTTGAGATAACGAACAGTTTTCGAGCTCAAAAGTCAATTAAACATTACAAAATAGGAGCAGAGCAAACACGAGCCTCTAAGACATCAGAGGTGGGATCAGGTGCCATGGTGGAGCGAGCATCTCCTGTCGACCGGTTACACCCGCCGTGTGCTCCTGTCATGATCGGGAAATAACGGAAAAATCCGTCGACAATTCGGTGTGTAAATAATGGCCTAACAATAAGTATGAAAAAAGTCAGTCAGCATTTGACTTAATGATAGATTGTAATTGCTGACAAGGTTATTGTATCGACCATAGAACTTACGAAATGAAACGAGACTGCTTTAAACGAGACTGCTGATATTCTTGTTTCATCAACTTGTTTGTCAATAACTTACCTAATTTTAGAAATTGTTCATACGTAGAGCATGCTCTTGCGTATCGAATCAACTGAAAGATATAAACTCCATATACAGGTGATGAGGGTAATTGTTGCATAAGTAAGGGAAGTTGACAATTGAAAAGTTAAAGTCATCACGTTTACAATAAAGATTGGTTGTTAGATTACCATTAACGTCTTTTTCTAATAGAATATCCAAATATGAAACAGATGTGTCAGACTCTGTAGTATCTTTTACCTCAAGCTCACCGGGATATATTGTGTCGACATAAGAATGGAAATAACCATTGTTAATTGACAATACGTCGTCGATATATCTAAATGTCGAGTTGAAGGCCACAGCAAGTGTTTTTTTTTTACTTTTCACGTAAAAGATTTTGAACAAATTCTGCTTCATATGAATACAAAAGTAGGTCTGCTAATAATGAACTACGGTTGCCTAGGAATTCGGCAGACTTAAACAACCAAGATTGATTGATTGTTTGTTTGTTGTTTAAAATCCCCTCTCGAGAATTTTTCACTCATACGGAGACGTCACCACTTGCCGGTGGAGGGCTATAAATTTTGACCTATACTCAGCACCCAGGGCCATTGAGCAGTGAGGAATCTTTTTCGTGCCAGCACCTACTGCGACACGGGACCTGGGTTTATACGGTCTCATCCGAAGGACTAGTCTCCACGTCCCGCAGTGGGATTCGAACCCGCGACGTAAGGATCAACTCCCTACTCCGCGACTCTAAAGCAGACGCTCTAACCACAACGCCACACGGGCAACAAACAACCAAGAAAAAATGCTGTTAAATCATGTTGTCATTGAGTAATAAATATTTAATAGCAATTATTCCTGTCGTTTTGGTCAAACAAGATTAATCAGTCATCCTTAAAGAATAATATTCACTTATACGTTCGGGCTTGGTCCTCTGGTGGCTAAATTGTTGTATTGAACTTAGCAATAATTGTATAATGTACAAGATCATTGTTTCGTATGGGATAATATTTTAAATTTTTTTCACGGTATTACTAGTACCCGTATTGGGTTGTTCAGGACTTTTAATGCAAATCAATGAGATATATTTGAAGCTTTATATTTTCATCGTCTTTTACTATTCCTTTTACCATTCTGTTCCGATTGTTTCTGCTGAAGAAGTTTCGTCTTGGCTTGAGCCTTTTTGGACAGCGCCACAGAAGCGGCGACGCCTGCAGCTATCGCCCCCACAGCGCCCACTAGTCCAGCGATCAGCAAATTCTCGTCAATACAAATATCATCATCGGGTTCTTCAAGTACGATGTCGTTGGACATAATTCTGAGTCTGCTACCAACTGTTATGTCTTCATATGTGTTTTCGAGTAAACGATCCTCCCTGTTCCCTGTGTCTCGTTTCTTTCGTCTTCCCCATCCAGGACTTCCATCCGAGCAAGTAACAGGGTCACAATTTCCGAGGCAAACCTTAAGTGTGCAAGTAAAAACCATTTCGGTGCTTCCGCCTGTTACACTTGTCTCCCGAAAAGCTCCGAATGCTGTACTTATATATCCACGGGACAGTTGTCTGAAATTCGGGAACAGATGTCGATCCGTTGCACAAGAATCTTTTATTATATTGATATTACCAGCAGAGCAATGTTTCGAACGAATGTCAAAGTCTAGAGTATACTCGTCATCTAGTCGAATTGCCATTTCGATCTTGTCGGAAAGCTTAACTGTTTTTCCAGTAACCGACTGTAATTCTCCGTTTTCATTCAGCTTATACAATACCATGAAAGCTGTTGGACGAATTGTGACATTTTCCAAATTGTCGTCATTCATGTCAAACAACAGATCCATTTCGTCTTGAAGATCAAGAGAAGAAAGGTCGGCATTGCAGGAAATGGTTAATATCTTATCATCTCCAGTTTGATACAAGCTATTTTTCTGAACGACGACGCGGATATTGTTTTCCCATGTTATTCCACAGGCAGCAAAATCAAAGTTATGGATGGATATGTTTGATGAGGTATCTTCCCGACATGCTACTGATTCCCCCTGCACGAATAGAGTTCCTGTATCAGAGGCATTATAAACCAACAGTCTCAGATTATTTCTGGAGCAACTCTCCACTTCCACTTCCGGGTTAAACGCATCAGTTGCACAGTCAATGACATAGACGACATATAAAGTGATGAAGAGGAGGTTTATGTTGAACATGCTACAGGCACTTGTAACCCCCAGCTTGCTCCCTAATTGTTTGCCGGTATAGTGTCCTCTCCGGGTGTCTATACACAGTATCGTGGAGTTATTTATTTCAGTACAACTGGTCCCCTTGTATCAATATTGCAGTAGATAGGATTATTCTGCAGTTTGTGACAGAAATTGAATTAGCTTCTTGGTACATTTTACGATGACAAAATAACAGATTCGTGCAAAATGATAATTGCATTTTCCTCGTAGGTCATATAATGACCAAATATTTAATTATAAGCATATGCATCGTGTAACAATCAGTTTAAGCGCACCAAGGAAGAGAATTCTTCAAACACTATTTATTGCAAGTGGAAGCGATGGGTTTGGCTTTTCTGGAATAGGTGTAACAGTTACCTCAAAGGAAGGCTGTGCAAATGTGTCCTTAAGCAATTGGCGAACAGCGTTCTTTATTTTAGTGTTTAATGCAGTGTAAACAAGGGTGTTTATAACACAATGTGACCACCCTAAATATGTTGAACTTGCATGAAGTATGGCATTTACTTTCGTCATATCCGGGTCATAGAGGTTAAGGACGATAAAAGGTGAATAAAGAATTCCATACGTAACAAATATGGCTGTTACACTTAAAATAAGATGGCGTTCCTTATTCCCTTTGTCATGTATTGCACTAATAGGTCGTTCATTCGTTTTTCTGACTGGCGCGGTTATTGTTGAAATAGCAATTTGAGAAACGTTTTGCGACCGCGTTACACCTATCCGTTTCTTGTTCAAGAGAACCTTATGTAATATTTTTCCATAACAGAATAGAAGTACGGGAAGTGTGCAAATAGTGACTGCCACCATGATAAAAATACGGTAAAACTTCAAATGAAATGGATCACAAACAAATTTCTTCTCTTTGTATGTGAAGGAACCCCAGGCATTCGTTAACGGCATAAAGAGTACTAAAAATGGGAATGTCCATGACAGAAATGTTATTATTGCTAAGTTCCGTGGATTTTTATAAAGTTTTCTATACAATGCAGAATGCAAAAACATGAGATATCTGTTAAGAGAGATGAGTAACATGGAGAAAAATTCGGCACCGAACAATCCACATGTAACAAATCCAATGAGAACACAAGTCGATGGCAGATCTTCCATCTTATCAACGTACGTATTTGTAGCTGTACTTGGAAACACAATGACACAAATCAAAGTATTGTTTATTGTGAGGTTCAGTATGCAAAAAATACTGGGCTCCTTTTGTAATTTGTACTTCAAGATGGCGACGATGTTGATTATGTTTACCACAAATCCAGAAATTGACAATACAATGCAAAATACTCGCACGAGGATTCGGAGGTTGTCCGGCACGGAGTCGGGGGAGATGGGATTGACGCTAGTTCTGGTTGTATCTTCAAGCAGCGTTGACCATGTGGTACTGGCTGGGGTGGGAAATGGTGACAAGGAAGGTGGACGTTGTTGAGGAAGACGACTTGGTCTGCGTTGAAAATTATTGAAAGACATCTTAAGAAATACTCGGTTGAATCAGTTAGATTAATATAAGCCAGCTACATTTTCTCACAGTTGTCTTGCGATACACTTTCCTTAACATAAGAAGATAAAATTCATATAATGTAAGAGATTCAATATCATATACCTTAATATAAAATGGGGGTATTGATTAATTGTTTTTAAAAAACACTCAGGTGCAGTTTTCTGCTTCCGTTTCGCTAATGGCATACCTTCCGGCTTCTTTCTGGAAGGTAATGTCAGGGTTCAAATTATGTGACAGGGCATATTCCCACTTATAAGAGTTAGCATGTAGAGTAATCAATTATGTTGTAAATAATGTTATACAATGTTCTAACAATGGTGTCCTCACTTCAGTATTCACAGAATATCTTGTAGCATTGAATCACAAGAACAGATTCAAGAATGAAGCATAAACTTTACTATTAGGCTTTCGTGCATGTATTTGTCCTTGACTGTACCGTTTGTAGAGTGAGTGAGATTGGATGCAGTGCAGTCACGCCGTGGAACGTGACGACTTCACTGTTCTGCGCAAGTTACACAAAATGACGCACTTCTTTGTAAACTAAGGTTAACCAAAACGTTGATTTCATTTTAGTTATGTAAAGTTCATTGCAAATTGTAAACACAGATTTGTAAAAAGACATGATGTTTAAAAAATATCCACGTACATCATGCCAGAAACTGATTCCTCTTGTCAGGACTATTCCACACTTCTGATCATTATTATGTTTAATATTCCATTGTGATGATCGTTTGATCCTTTTAATAAAAGTTTTCCATCTGTAATGTTCATTTTTATCGTTTTAGGTTGTTGGATGTTGTGCTGGTTTTTATGGAAAAAGTTGCTCAGGTTTAAAATTATTTTACCTTAAACGTCTTCATATACTTGATCATTATAAATTAATTCATGTAATTACATAACGAATAAAGAAATGTTCATGTAATGATAGTATTCAGTTACATGTATTTTGAAAATCTTTAAAAAAAACTATTTTGATAACTCAAAAGTACTGATACCAAATGTTAAATGACTTCTGTATAGTTGCATTTTTATGAATAGCTTGTCAGGGCGGATCCGAGTTTCCTTGCAACAATAATGGGAACTGTAGTGATGGGATAGACGGTGACGGCACGTGCACGTGTTTCCCAGGGTACACCGGAACTTCCTGTCAGCTGTGCATCAACAGTACCGACAATACGACCACTGAATGTGGTATGTTTCTGTAACAGTGTTTAATGTTCATCACACTTACTGATAAAATAGATGTTTGAAGTGATCAGGTACATGTATATATAACTTTGCGTCTATTTCGATATATAGATTTTGAATAAATAATAGCCACACATACGTATGTTTTTCTATAACGACTTTATTATGATTCTGATAAATTTAATATCTCGCATTTTTTGATAAAATGGACAATAAAGTGATGACCTCGTCAACTCTAGCCTTTTTTTGGGGGGGGGGGGGGATACATAGTTTGAGCATGAGCAGAATATGATATACAGATAAACATTATTATAAACATTTATAAATTAGGTAACGATGAAATGACTTCTAAACACGTGAAGCTAATTTCGCATATTCGTTGTCGGATTTCATTTGTGGTCAAGTTATGCATGATATCTCAATACCGTCAAAAAGTAATGAATCTTTATTCGCGAAATATAGCTCCAATCAATTCAAAAGTGTGCCTAATTACCTTAGTGACCCTAGTATGAAACAAAAAAAAATCTTATTTTAAAAATAAAAATATCATATTTGTGCATTCCCCTTTTCGACCATTTCTACTTTTGTCTTCAATATTCAGCTAGATCCTGTGCCTATCACAACGGTGGCTGTCATGAAAACGGGACGTGCCATGAATACGCCGGAAGTGTGACGTGTGCTTGTCCCCAGGGGTTTGTGGGGGATGGACATCGCTGTGTGAGACCTTGCGAGGAGAACAACGGAGGGTGCCACGAATTTGCTCTTTGCAAAGAACTGGTACATGTATTGACTTTTTTCTGAAATCTCCTCCCCCTCCCCACCCCAACCCCCCAAAAAATGTTATTTTAGACCTTATGAATGTTGCAGTAGTATCAAAACGCAATTTCGAACAAAAATGTCATAATCTAGCATTACTGTTTCGCTTCTAAATTCCTTAATATAGGTGCTGTTTAAGCTTTTGGTTTTAATTTGGAAAAAAAAAAATATCATTTCAGAATGAGAATACAACAGAGGTGGATTGTTTCTGTCAAAGTCAGTACAAGGGCAACGGTCTGGATTGCGTACGTGGGAGTCATATTTTCTTTTTCAAATTTCAAACTTTGTATACATATTGTTCAATTTTGTAGTTATCAATTATACCCACGTATTTATTTATTTATTTATTTATTTATTTATTTTTTTATTTATTGTAGACATTGATACCAGAGAAACAATCTGCTAGCATAACGGTGAGTTTGTAACTTTGTGGTACCGCATACATTTTTTCTATTATCAGATAGAGTTGAAGATGTAGAAAATATATTAACTCTTCATGCCTGAAGATACCACTGTTTACTTTTAGCGAATTTACTAGGCCGATAGTGATAACAACCGTACTTAGTTCTTTACAGATACAACGTGTAGCTTTTATCTGTATCTTAGGCACATTATATGGTATAACTGACTGAATTTGGGAAATTGTCTTTTCACTTTGTACATCATACGACGATCTGACCTTTTAAAAAATTATTTCAGTAATTATGCAATGTGGATCCAGCTGAATGTTAAAAATTGTTGTCAAAGGAAAATATACAGTCATGTATAAACAATAAAATACAATTGGGAGGGAGGGGGATTTCAAATTCCTAAGACAATTGATTAGAAATTATTTATGACAAAACTGATATGATATCTTTTTACGATGTCTGAAGTTTGTGCAAAATCCTTTTGTTCATTGCTGGAATATAACCACATTCACCGTCCATTACTTATGGATGTTTAATAAAAGACCAAACCAGTCACACTTTCTTCTGCATCAGATGTATTTCTGGTCGCCCGCGTGGCGCAGTGGTAGAGCGTCTGCTCTAGATTCGCGGAGTAAGGAGTTGATCCTTACGTCGCGGGTTCGAATCCCACAGTGGGACGTGGAGACCGGTCCTTCGGATGAGACCATATAAACCGAGGTCCCGTGTCGCAGTAAGTGCTGGCACGAAAAAGATCCCTCACTGCTTAATGGCCCTAAGTGCCGAGCATAGGTCAAAATTTGCAGCTCTCCTCCGGCAAGTGGTGGCGTCTCCATATGAGTGAAAAATTCTCGAGAGGGACGTTAAACAACAAACAAACAAATGTATTTCTGGATTCTGACTGTTCACATACAGTTAATGGATATGTACCATTAAAATTCACATTTTTTTTATTCTGAAAGACAAAATATACCGTTAAGACTGTGCATAGAGCCTACAGTTAAGTCTGTGTTGTAATCAGACTATGCTGAGGATGATAGATTTTTCCTCTATATTTTACAGGCGGGTATAACCGTGGGAGGACTCATTGGGTGTATCATCGTCGTCGGATTAATCATTTTACTCATCATTGCAATTAGAAGACGTAGACATTCAACATCATTTTTAACGAAAGAGGTAATATACAAAGTAGTTGTATCTACCCCCCACCCCCCACCCACCCCCCCACCCCCTATTGCCTGGTAAAACTGAATTACATAATTATGTAGATATAAATTGTTCAGAAAGTAATTCTAGTTATTCCCCTTAGGCTTATGTTTTCATTTCTTTTGTACACATTTCAAATTATGTAACTTTCTTTTTTTCAGTATCAGTTTAATTTTAATCTGCATCTCAAACATAACTGCAGCTAAGTCAAAGTGCGCATAGATTCTAAGTAATTTATTCTGATGCTTTTTAAGGACCAGGTGTATTATAATATACGGCTTAGTGCTTACATGTACGTTCTTTTCCATATTCTGAATATTGTTCGAAAAGATACACCTATATAGTACATGCCTTTTAAATAGTATCAGTATTATTGAAAATAATATCTAAGATTTCACCCCCAACAAAAAGAGGTTGGCATTTTTTTTTTCATGAATTCTATTCATATACATGACTGTAAATCTATTTTACAACTTTAATGCAAAAAAATTAGTCACGCTAACAACCATACAAGTTGTAATCATTTTGAGATTTCGTTGAGGAAAAGGAGATAGCATTAATTTTTTTAATTTTTTTTTTCAATATTGAATTGATTTAAAATCAAAATGTGGGGAGTCAGGACATTGGGTATCTCATTGGCGTCGTACATTAAATCTTTGGTATTATTCAAAATGGAAATGCTGGTCTACACTATGTTATATTGGTGTGTTTGTCAAATTCTTACCGTAACCTGTCTTGAATGTTAATGAGTGGAAAGAACTATGTAACAATTCTTAGACTCGTTAGATTATTACTGTGATCAAGTGAGGGGAAGTGCTTTGTTTTTATTGTGTAAGTATTTAAAATATACGGTTTGTTTTATTTTCGGCACAGATCAGAGATTATACTACCCCATGAATTTATACCCCCCATGAACATTACAAACTACATTGTATGTCAAAATATCGATTTAGTGAATGTTCAGTTTATACGACCCAGGAACTAGTAAAATTTTGGCTGCCCTTGAACATAGACCTCAGGAATTAAAATGATTTAACGGCAATATTTTTTTTTTAAAAAAGAAAAGAAAAAATTAGAGTAAGAATTGTTTTACATATGCTTTCAAAATCTGCCTTATTCGATTCATTTCGTTTGTATTTAAAGATAATAAATTTGTATTTAGCAAGAAGTCATAAAGTTGAGTTCTTAATTGTACTAAATTTTTTTGATTCTTATTCAAAACAGAAATTGGGCAGCACTGAGTCTTTTGAGAAACTGCATCCCACCCCCGCAGGAGAGGAAAATTACATCGCCTTGCAACCGTCCCCTCCCTCGGAGGTCAAGTTCGACAACCCAATGTACAGCGTCAAAGACCGATTTGTTGACGAGGATTCCTAAACTTTGCGTATAGTAATCCGTGCCATAGACGTGATGTAAAGAAGTTGCGTTACAGTTTTTTTATGTTGGGTTTTTTTTCTTAATTTTTTCTCTTATTTTTTTTTTTATATATAAAAGTGAAGAAAATATGACTTTATTATGTTGTTCATGATTGAAATGAGTATGACTTTGTGATGCTAACTGTATTGAATTTATGGATGCTTGCCTCCTTTTTTTTTTAGACAACATGGAGATTCTTATATGTCTCGTTTTATGTCTTCATCTTGTTTTTCACATATTACCGGTTATTTTATGACCATAAAATTGTCTTTAAAAGATGCAATAAATCATCAAATTAAAATATCTCGTGTCAGTGTACAAATTTACCCACCCACCCACATAATTCCGATATATTTATAGTTTATGACGCCCCGAAGGTAAAATGGACGAGATTTCAGAGGTTTTTTGGCCGTTAATTTTACGGTAATTTATGTACATATGTACCCCTTAACATAAAACAATATCCCGGACACATGTCACTGGTTTCTAAATATATAATAACAGTAAAATGAATAACTGGAAATTAGTTGTGACTTTCTGGCTAATAATATTAAACAAAAATGTGTCTACCGCTTAAACTAAATTAAACGAAGTAAAATTGAAATGTGAAATACAAGGACCTCAAAATGGAGGATTTAATGAAAAAGCTTAAAAATGAAATGGTAAGAATTTTTTTTTAATTCTAGGCGTTTTTTTTTTTTATTTTTTCCCCCTTCAAGAACTGTTTTACTGATTTTTTGCGTAAATATTTTGTTCATCAATGTAGTATTGTTTACTAGTATCAATTATATTACAAGTACTAATATATACTAGTAAATGTCATCGGTATCATATAATGAATTTCTTTATTTTTTGTTTGTGCTTATTGAAAACTTCACGATGAACCTTAGTTATTTACATGAAGTGTAAAAGTTAACGATTCGATTTCCTTGTTTAGAATCTTGAAACAAAAAAGAGTTGCTTCCCTTTACAGAGTGCTCATGACATTGAAATTCTTCGATGTACAGGCTGTGGTCTTTAAAAACTTCATAATGCGTTACTTTTGATCATCAATTTCCCCTTCTGACAAGATGAAGATCTTTGTTTACTTCATTTTCACATTCAGCCTTTTAAGTTCGTTTGCTCTTAAGCTTTTTTTCTTCTATCATGTTTGCCCAACGATTGTTAATAAAACATCTATCTTTACGTTTTAGTACAGGTAGATTTAACAGAAAGAACAGCAATGTATTAGGGAAATATAGAACAAATATTTGAAGAAGAAAATGAACATTTAATCCCGTGCTTGTGTTTACAAAATCATTTTAAAACCTTAACTTTCAAATTTCCTCCTACAGTTTGAAGCAGCTCATATTAAAAGTATATAATTAATTTATCTTGTAAATTGAATCCCAATTATCTCATGAGTTTTAGGGAGAAATAATTGTTATTTTGGATTAAAATGGATATAAAATTGTTGCCATGTGATTCAAGCCAATTGTTTCCATAAAATTTTTTCGAAGTATGATTGAGATAAAACTTTGTAAATATTTGAGCAGGGTTTTAATTTTCATTGAAGAGTTTGTACCTGTGAAATTCCCCCATGCCTCTATTGTGTTATATTCATGGTGACACAGTAACGCGCAAGGAACCAAAAAACAAACCTCAGACAGAAAATTTAAACAAAATTTTGCAAATAGACGGAGTTTTTGAAGAATTCCCTTGATAAATTAACATGAAAAAGTAAGCATAGTGTTGGTAATCATGTTGCAATCAAGTGCTACTAAATTATTTTTTAGGGATTAGTCTTATCAATTCTCTTGCTTTCATCTCTGGTCAACTCAATACCATATTGATTAAAATCGTCTTTGAAGAATGATCCCTCTATCTAATATGGAAGAAAGATTTAAATTTAATGAAAACACTCGTGGGAAATTTATCCTGATGAAATATCGGGTCACCTTCGGCTACTTTTCTCTCTTTGTACAACAGCCAGTATTTAATTCGCGGACAATAAAAATAATAGATGCACAAAGAGCTAAGAATATTATCTATATATAACTTTAGTTCAATACACATTCATTATGACGTCACAAATTGGCCTAAGGTGACCGTGTGTCATCGTTTCCTCGCGGACATAAAATATGACATTTTACACTTATTTAATGGAGATTATGGCACTTACTCACTCCCTGATTCAATAAACCGAGACAACATGGTTTTGTATATCAGGGCTATGATCATTTTTCAAATCATATATCGGAACAACCGTGTAGGTTTCGCTACTAGAACTTAACGTCTGCTTCTGTCTATATCGAGTTTTCGGGCGTCACTGCGTTCCACTGAAATCAAGTTACAGGTGCACCAGCTGTTCCAAATATTATGACTTCATTGGCGCAGAAATTATAAATAAAGCATAACATAGCTTTTGTGAACATGTTGTTTGCACTAGACTATAGTTTAACGAAACCAGATGCAAATGAAGTTATTCAACTTTAATACATTAAGGAAAAGCAAATTGATACAGTTGTAAGTATCACGATTAATTTTAGCCGAAATAAGAAAGGTATTTGCGATGAACGTTTTCTTTCTTTCTACATTTGTATGTTCCGATTTGGATTAGCTATTTGTCTGTTGACAACTTCATACTGTAAACCAACTAAATTATTCTCGACAACTTTTATTCGCGATTTGTCAGTTTGAAATTGCGCGGCGATTAATTTTCGCGACAGAGGAAATATTCTACAAATAAATAGTTTTCGGTGAGATATAGTAAAACAAGGTCGTGAAATCCATTGATATTTCTTGCACGCGAATAAAAATGAGTTTAAGGTATACTTAACCTTTCAAGGATTTTAACCTTTGAACATGTGTGTATTCAGGGTTTAAGTTTATTTCATGATTTCATTATACACATAGTAACCTTGTCTTTGACAGTTGCAAATACATATATATAATGATATTATATTTCCTATTTTTCACATTACTCTTGCTGAATTATGAATGTACTACATAGTAATTCCAATTACCATCGATAATTAACGCAATGATTCTACCAACTTGCAAATTGTTTGACCGAAACAAATTCTGATTTTACGAATCGGGTTGGTAATCTTCAGATCCGTAAAATCTGTGTGATTTGTACTGTGACGGGTGTATCCTGGTACCTGAAACCACAGACTTCATCAATTAGATGAAATATTAAACTTTCTTCATTTATTATTTGGTCGCACAATGTCAGAAGTTATGTCCTCTCATCCGTCCATTTCCTTTATGCAAAATGAGTCTTAAACATACACAGTGTTTAAAGTGAGCATGGCTGATGCCAGTCCTCCTCTTTAAAATGAGTAGTTTTATAAGTTGACCTTTACCCCGAAACTCAGCAATTTGTACACTTAAATATCATATAGTCATTTTTGTGAATTTCGTTTCTTTTTTTGAAAAAAACAACTCGGTGAAAATGGACAATATGTACAATTCAACAATAATGCAGAACATTACACAGTACATAAATTCATAAGGCGATTTTTTTTAATCAAATATCTGCAAACACTTTGGACAGCTAATTGGTCTTTCAATAGAAACTAATGCATGGGATTAAACTCTCAATATTTAAGAAATCAGGAGGAAAGAGAAGTTCTCGATTGAATGTAAAGCATTAATTTTGATCTGTAAAGTGATCGAGTATGAGGCAAAAAAGATCGAATTTCACACTGGATATACCCTTACACTTAATCAAGATGTAAAACGAGATATTCTAACAAATTCATAATAATGTATATATTTATAGATTCGATTTCGTTGAAAACATTAAACTATTACTTAGCTCAATTTTTCCCCCTCATTCAAATTTACGCATGTGAATGTCCCTATTAATTTTCTCGGACGACTAAATCGCTTACTTTTGGATAAAGGGCAATAAAACCAATCTAAAGTTTCATTTCAATAAAGTTTACCTTTAATTTATTTCAATTGCAAATGTTTAAGTGGCCGAACGAGACATAGCCTTGGAAATAAAACCCCCAATTTAAAAACTTGGAAAAGATTATTGAAAGGTAAATCTTTGCTTCTATCCCTCAATACCCGGTGTATCGTCCTTGCGGGTTTTTCTCTATTAGGCGACAAAGCTCTCGCTAATTCCCCAACTCTAGATAAACAGAGCACACCTTCATGACAATCTCTCTCCGACGAACCAGGTATGAGATTTCAGTGAGGTCTTTGTCAGGGGGGCAGAAAGAAGGAAATCTCGACTGAAGTACTGGGTCAGTGGTTTTCCTTTAAGTTAGATACATCGCTACTCTAGACAGGCTGTTAGCATGCACCGGGCCTTCTTTGACTAGGTGTGCATTCATACCGTGTTAATTTGCTCGATGACACGCAGGAGCGAACATTAAACTGATCAGAGTGTGCACAGAAACACTTCATCATGGACCTAATTACTTGGTAAGCAGAATATTCGTCCTTTTCATTTTAACTTTACAAAATTCTTCAGAGTTTTTCGTGTATAAAATTGTATGCATGATGAATCGCTTTTGAAACTTGTTTGCTTGTTCTTTTAAAGATGTGCAAAACAGCTGAGAGGAATGTGTGATATAAAGGCTATTAAAGTGTTGCAAATGTTTAAAAGTTTAAAGATATTGGGACGCATTTTTGGCTGATACGATCTTTAATCATCCCTGAAAATCCGTTTTTATTCGAAAGGTGAAAATTAATTCTTAAGTGCTCATTTTCCAGACAGGAAAAAAGGTCGACAACCAAGTAAATCTTGCAATGGAGACACACGGTCATGGTATTGCTTTCTAAGATAAAGAAGACCGTGGTCGCACATATGAATTTTACGCCATTTTTAGGGTGAAAGTGTGCTTTCTTACTAGAGAAATTAATCTTTGTAACACATATATTTTAAGAAAGAAATGCATGGTTGCTCATCAGAGCACTTCGTTTTACGCTGAGCTTGAGGTGTATAGATACCTTTGCATATTTAACTGTCTGACTTCGCGAAAGTTTACGGGCTTGTTTATCACCTTGATGGCAAATGTCTCGATTTTTTGAATTATAAAGGCATTTTATTCATATACAAGTATTATATTAGATCAAGTACACAATATGTATACTAAAACATACTTAAAATGTTCAGTGATAAAATACTTTTCCTGTTTTATTGTGCATTATATCGCCAAAAAGAATTTCACTCCCAATTTAAGCTTGATGGTGTATGACTCCATTTGAAATCCAGGTGTATTGGTAGGATCAATAATGTAGCTACAAAATGTGTTAAATTTGTTTAATTTGTTTTCATAGGAATGAAAACGTCATGGTGAAAATTCTTAATTGACAGGGTACTAAAAGGATTGTAAACAATTTTTACCCTATACTTTTAATACTACATGTAGTATGTTGATAGTTCATTACATTTCTCAAGTTCATTTCTACATTGTTTTCTGTTAACTATCCATGTACATGTAAATGAATCAGGATTAATTAAAAATTACACATAAACTTAGAAAAGAAAGGGGTTTTGTGAAGGTGCATAATTTAGAATTGCCTTTTTTGACATTATTACTTAATACAACCTGTTTGCTCTCTACCGTACAGATTCGATAATTGAAACTAATTTTTTTTTTCAAAATAACATTATTGGTCCTTTTCGTTTTAAGGGACCGGGCAACATTTATCACCAAGGTGGGACAGGTGCAAATAAAATAATTTCTTAAATAAAAGTCTTGATTCCATACCTTACAGAATGAAAACAAAATATATATACATCCCCCCTCATTTCATTTGTGTGATAAAATCAAATATTCATACGTATATAACATAAGTTGCATAACCTTAAAAAACATTTGCTATCTAGAGGGGTGGGGAAGATGACTCCATGTGTAGGGTGCAGACTTCCATTCAATTAAAGAAATATGTTTGTACTTTTCTTTTCAGAAATAAATGTTTGAGAATATTAAATGTAATTTTGGATTACATGCAACCTGAAAATGTATAAAAGTTGGATAATATGAAGAATATGAGCCATATTTCATTTTAAAGTTGCAGGATGATGAGGGATACCAAAAATGTACCTGTCCCATCAAATTTTGCACTGGTCCCTTCCTGCTGATAAATATTGCCTGGTCCCTTAAAAAAGATCATACCTTTTTATTACATGTATATAAATAAACATAAATGCATGCATGCTTTGGTAACCAGCAAAAAATATTATGTACGGATTGTAACCCGATTAAGACATGACACTGGTATCTGAAAAAGGATGTAGCAGCGGAGGCGTCTAGCACTAGATACCCTAATACGCAAATTATTGTCCATTTGTACTCAAAGCACTGTCATGAGAAAAAGGTGTTACTTGTTTGTAGCGCATTGATTTCACGGTCATGTAACCTTATTACTCCGCGTTGTGTGAGGTTTGACCCAGCGGTCCGTCAAATTGTAGAAATCACCAAGTTTCCCGTTGTGTCAAATTGTTTCCTCTTTTCGTGCCAGCATTCATTTGCGTAAGTTATACTCCATGAAATGTTCAAACTACAAAGAAATTGTTACATTTTTGCATGATATCTGATCGGGTTCGGTGTCCTTTGTTACAAAATTTGTAACCCTTTCTGATAAGTGCAGATACAATGGTTTTCTTGCTACCATCACAGCTACGATAACAATCTCCAGAATTTAAGTATATTTTTTCCATCAATACTGCGGTTGGTTCGTTACCTTGCGGGTACCATGAGAACAGAACTGCGATCCGGCAAAAAAGTTATCTTTTTGATCTGTTTTTCCTGATTCTATAGTTTTCCCTTAGGATTTACGTGTGAAATTGTCACAACAGATGTTCTCCACTTGTCCTAAAGTGATTTGTTATATAGATATCATGACAATGTTGGCTAGTAAAAATTTAAATTAAATGAAATTATTGATACCATGGTTCAATATTGTTACAAACGTTTGTTTTCAGAATTTCTGCTTTCATCTCTGATTAGACCTTTTTTCTTTGATTTGATATTCAAATCAAAATGCAATTTTAAGCATAAAATGTCCTCTCATGCAATTGCTTTCTTTAAAGTGGTCTTCAAGTTTTTCGTATTTAATAAGAACATTTTTGCGTTGCTACAATGTCTTTCTAACACCTACAAGGGAACCTCCCCATATTGCAATAACTTCTTTTATAGACTGTGAATTACGTGATAATTCAATAAATGTCTTTCTTAAAATTACGTCTCAATACTTATAAATTGTTTCTATACTTCGGTTTATTAAGAAAATTCTTTCCGATTAACTAGATCTCTGTAAGGGTATAAAGTGAACAATTGGAATTAATTGAAGAATTAGAGATCCATTCCATACCTCGAATGAGGTTTGTTTTGCGTTGTACTTGTGTAGATAAGGCCAAACTCCTGTATTCAAACACAAAGAGGAAATTCGAGGCGTGGATTTTTGTGGTTTTTCTCGCTTCGAGTTTCGAGAATACACCTTGATAAATCTGAAGCAAGGCTAAAGAGGATAGATCTCAAAGTCAATATTTTTATCGGTTTAAGGGAGTCTGCTAATACGTTAGTAAACACAGCCATGTCAATTACAAAATAGCGCGCTCGGGGAGAAAGTCACTAGAACAGGAATCTCGGTGACGTCATCAGTGATTTCGTGTAGGTTTTCTTGGTGTTTCGCCTTGACAGGGATTACTTTAGACACACGAATTTATGAAGAGGGTAAATAAATTAAAACTATAGGAAATATGTCAATGGACATTTACAATCAATTATTTTAGAGGCATACTCTGTCGTGAATTTATTTAAATCTCGTGAAATCTCTTGAAATAAGTATTGTAAATTTATCATGTGGTAACAACCCTGCTTAAAATTGACATGTGATTCATCTATTAAAGTGTTGTTTACATTAAAAAAGCATTGTTTTTGTTTAAACATTTCTGTAGATAGCTTACAGATAAGCATTGGAAAGAAGATTTCTGATATTAAGAATTTATTTTTCTTTTTGTTACTACATATTGTCTGGTATCTTCCCAAAAAAATCTTTACCTGAGAATTTCTTTCTACGGTATCTATTCACAATTTAGACAGTTTAGTTTACCTTTTCTGATGTAAAAGTATTTGGTTTACTTTTTGGTTTGCAGAAGTTAACTTTCAACATCACAATGCTTGATTATAAACTTTAATCCTTTTGTAATCGATCATGTCACACCGGGTTATTAAATAAAATTAACAGTTTACAATAATTTAAGTGTCCCTAAAGTCACCTTGGCTTACATTTTATAAAACATTCACCTCTTAGTTATAAACCTGAACTTCTGTACACCAAACCTCATCAAAGCAAATCATTAATCATTGTTCTCCAGTGAGAAATGTCTACTTTCATTTTTATCCTAAAACTTAATTCTGCGTAAAAACTCCCACATTCTGCAACGCTCATCAATCATGTTTTAAACATATTATGCCTGAACTAAGAAAACAAAACCTGAATCCTATAGAAAAAGCACATGTAAAACCAAAACCCTAGGGGTCCATCTTTGTCAGAAAGGGCTAGGATGACGAGTCCGGGAGCGTTCGATTCCACGGACAGGAGATCCGTCAATCACGGGTCAGTTTGTCAAATCGACCGCGGACCGTGTCACAGGTATCGTAGCTAATTAATAATAACTCCAGTAAGAATGCATGAAGATTCAATCGTCCTTGTGTGGTGGGGCTGTTAATTACTTCGCTCTCTATGAATAAGGCTTTTGTCATTCAAGGAAGTTTAATCAGGAGCGGTGTTTTTTTAGTTTTGTATCGCTGCTGAAATCTCAAGGTAACTGGTAAATTATTCAATAGACAGAATAATGAATGGATTTAACACTAAACGAATTACTATTCTAGTTAAATACGATCAAAGGACCAATGTTTACTTTTGATACTGGTATTTTTTGTGATTAAGATAGTATAGTAGTACATATGAATATGTATCTATTTATATACCAGTTACTTAACTCTAAAATTTGTTAGTAGCCGTTTATAAACTTGTATGCATTAACACATGGATGTGCTTTGATGTTTTATTCTTTACGTATAAGATATGCAAAGAGTTTGTTTAAAACAGCTTCGGGGTCTACGGCACTATAAAAAGATGAATAAAATTTTACATACGGAGCCCAACCAAATTATGGAAATTGTCAACTTAAGAAAGAAATCCTTCTCAAAACTTCAATGAGTCTAGCTCTGCTGACCCAGACAAGACATCATAAAGCAGTCCGAATCAAAGGCTGTCACGAACTATTACTTCTCACTAAACCCCAATAGAGATCTCTCTCTGTTTTCATTTTCAAATCCCATTCATGGGTTCTTCTTTTCAAATCCTTTTTCAGACTTGTCAAAACAGAATGAAATCTCCCATTTTTGAGGATTCGTAATCCTTCATAAAATTTGCAATCTACTTTTTCATTTTCATAGGCGATTATT